GTATTGTGTGCGGTTCTGGTGTCCTCAACATAAAAAGGACATGGAACTGTTGGAACAAGTCCAGAGAAGGGCCACAAGGGTGATCAGGGGACTGGAGCACCTCCTGTATGAAGACAGGCTGAGGAAGTTGGGGCTGTTCAGCCTGGAGAAGAGAAGGCTGCGTGGAGACCTCATAGCAGCCTTCCAGTATCTAAAGGAGACCTATAGGGACGCTGGGGAGGGACTGTTCATTAGAGGCTGTGGTGATAGGACAAGGGGTAATAGGTTAAAACTTAAAACAGGGGAAGTTTAGATTGGTTATAAGAAGGAAATTCTTTCCTGTTAGGGTGGTGAGGCACTGAAATAGGTTGCCCAGGGAAGTTGTGAATGGTCCATCCCTGGCAGTGTTCAAGACCAGGTTGGACGAGGCCTTGGGTGATATGATTTAGCGTAAGGTGTCCCTGCCCACAGCAGGGGTTTGGAACTAGATGATCTTAAGGTCCTTTCCAACCCTAACTATTCTATGATTCTATGAACTGTTTTAAGACTTCACAGTTCATGTTCTAGAATTCAGTGTGGAAGTGGATCAACCGGACTTGCTGCAATTTCTCCACCAGGTGACTGGGAGATTCCTATTAATATCCTAGTTTAGTACCAGATTTTATCTGTCTTGGTAACATTGCCTTCATCACCTTGCAGTGGCATGGAGCCATTTGAACAGAAGGATATGAATATGAGCAACCAAGAGATTATGTATGAGAAAACTGTGTGTATGGAGGACAGGTTTTCCACTTTGTAGTCCTGAAGTGGAAGTTGGTTGACCCCCTTCAAAGTCAGTGGGGAAATAGGATATTTAAACAGTGTTTTAGCTGTGTCACAATAAATGCTGGGTGGATATTACAGTTCTATGACATACAGCTTTATTTCCTTGTTAGTTACCTGCTGATGCTATATGTAGTGAACTTCCTTTGTTATTATTGCTGTTTTAATTGTGCTTGATCTAGTTTTCATAAATGTTGATCTGACTTGGTAGTTAAATTTAGTGTCTTGCAAAAGAAAAGAAGAATGGAGATACGGTTTACCAATTGCTAATCGGTTTTAAATTCAATTTAAAAATAAAAGCTACCTTTTGACCCTTTTAATAACTGAAGTGAGGTGAAAGCGGTTAATATATGTATTGTTAAGGATATGCTTTCCTAACATCTGAAAAGGAATGGCAATGGTACATAGCAGCTATTTCATAATGAAGAGGACAGATTAAGATCCCGTACAAGATCTGTATGTTAGATGCTTCAGAAAACAGTGCTTTTATTATTTCAATTTAATAGTTAACTATTTGGAACATATTAAATAGCAACTCTGTGAAAGAACATACTATTGAAGTTCTTTTGAATTGACTTGCACAAAATTTATTCTGTCTTTATTTGTAACTATTTTTATGTTATATTTTCATCTAATTCAGATTCTATCTAAAATACTGATATCAATGTCTTACTTGTAATTCATGAGTTGGTTTTGAAAGAATGCTCACTTGTATGCTCAGCAAAACATTAAAAGAACAAAACAAAACCTGGGCATTCTCATGCTATGCAGCTGGCAGGCAATGGAATTGGCCTGTAAACAAGTTGCATTAGTCTCTGAGAAGTGATGTGCAACAATAGCAATTAATAGCTGCACTTAGTATAGTAAAAGATTTCATTATAGTTTGATCACGTAAAAGCAGACTTCGGCATTTGTAAATTCAAATGCAGAGGACATAATTTTTTGGTGGGTATCTTGCTGCCATTCATTGGTGTGAACCACAGTCTTCACATGACAGATTATTTCTGTTACATATTCTGGGAGATACAAGCATTTATAAACTTACAGATGGAAAAAAGTATTTTGGGCTTGGGGGCAGGTTGGGCTGGTCTAAATTATTTCTCTTCTCCAGTGCTGGGGAAGGACATTGTCAGTTGAAGAATGTCTGTGCCTTCTTCTGTTTCTGCCTGCTTTAAGTTACGTTTTCAAAGGCAAAGTTCATATCCTTCCTGTGAAGTTCTGCAGAGGTCACGATTGAATTGGGGGAGTATCTTCTGTAGATGAGTTAATTTGGAATGAACGCAGAACAGTGGACAAATTGCTCATCCATTTGTAGCCTCACTTAAAGATTTTTGTGTAATTTTCCCGTAAGGTTTTTTTCTACAGTATTTTTTTAAAGATGGGAAAAAAACCCAACCCTAGGGAATGTATCTGAAAAAAAAAAGTATATTTACAAGGTTTATTGTGCATTACTGTTAGTCATGTAGATGCACAGCTTGACAATAGAAGGAAGAATTGCGCAGCAGAAGAGTCAGTTGTTTCACACGGCTTTTTACATGGTGACAGCTGGTTAATTTTGTTTTGCTTTGAGTATTTTTATTTACCTTGTAGTCATAACTAAAAACAGTCTCCTTATTTCCCTCCAATATTCCAGTCCTGGAAGCAGGTGAAGTTCAGTGCATTCATTTTAATTAGAATACGTATCTGTGTTACTTGATAAAAATTTGTTATCCTTGTTAGCAGCTTAAAATATTGTTTGAATTTTCCCCTAAGCTTGGTCACAAGGAAAATGAATATTCAAAGAAAAGACATCTTTTTTCATCCCAAACACTTGATTTAATGTCAGAGAGAGAATAGCCTTATTTCGATTAAGGCTATGTTATCTCCTGCAGCTTCCAAGCAGCTGATTTCGAGTCCTTAAAGAGTTAACAGATGTGCACTGTAAAATAAATGAAAAAGTAGCCCTTTCATTAAACACAGTAATTAAATACTCAAGCTTTTGTGATACCAAGAACATATTGTTGTCATATAAATTTAATCTTTGCGTGTAATAATACCAGTAGGACTTGTGATGTACAGGTGTGCCTTACAGTGATCACTGTTTTCTCTTTTTTTTTTTTACCTTGTCCACTTTTAGAGTCAGGGAATAGGAACTGACTTCACTTAAACCCTGCACTGTGGCAGTGGCAGTTACAGCAATAAATTGTAAATTTCTTCCAACTTTTTGAAGCTATGCTCCGTTCAGGTTTTGTTAGGTTGTTGCCTCACAAATATATGATATAAACCCTGACTTTGATTTTTTTTTTTTTTTTTTTTTATTTATTATTAATTAGGGAAGTGACTTGCTCCTTTATTTACAGACTTCATCAGCACAAGCTGCTCGGTAACTTACCGTTCACTTAATATTCCTCATCTCAGTGATAAGCTCATGTTCAGCACACAGATGTAGTAGGTTGCCTCCATATGGTGCTTTGTCTAATGAATCAATTAGCTATTTTGGAGAAAATCCTTGTGAAGTTTTTTTTCCCTCCTTGATGAAAATTCATCCTACAAATAGTGGAACAGTCTTTCACTGATGTTTGTGTTTGAGCATAGTTTTAGGCAGAAACTTTGCAATAGTTTCTCTGGATTCTCATTTAAATTGTCTTTGTGCTTAGGGAAATAAGGAGAGTGATTTTTGCTTTAAAGTTTGTATTTGGAGGTTTTGGGGAACTATTTGCATCAAGGATATTAAGCCATATATCTCTATTCTAGTGACTGCCTTTGCTCCTCCTATGGCCTGCAGTCTTTAAGAAGTTGTTAGGTATCATAATTGTAGTTTAATGTTGTCTTCTTGGTTATTTATACTTCCTATGCCGTTTAGTTCTCCCTGTAAAATGGCTATACTTACCAATTTTTCCATTGAAAGTTGATGAAATATGTTTTGTACAAGCTGCCAACTGTGTTGTGTTATAACTTGCGTAAAGAATCTGTTTTTAAAAAGGCATGCAGTTAAAGCTTTGTACTGGATAATCTTATTCATCATATTACTTTAAAATAATGGTATCAAAATGAGGGTTCTAGACTTTCAAATTTCTTTTTTCAAGTAAGTAAGAGCATATTTAGCACCCATAAAAACACAGTAGAATAATTTTCCTGGAAATGTTTATGGGGATGTGTCAGACTGTGTGAAATATGCTTCTTAACTTTAAATATTACAGTAAACTGGGAGAACCCCTAAAATGGAATCTCCTTATAGGTGTAGCTAGAACTGATTATTAGGTAATGAAAATCTGACATTTTAAAAACTGGTTTTTAGCCTCTTTATAATGGGAATATGTTCTCAGTTTTAACACTGCTGAATTTCCTGCTAAACTCTCACCCCTCTTTCCCCCTCGACTCCCCAGTCCACCCAGTGCCCACTCATACCACCAGCTGTGGAAGGCTCATGGTCCTGCTTATGTGTCAGGGGTTGGCTGTGTAACCATTATACCAGCTCTGAATAGAACTGGTGTCACACAACACATTTTACAACCCTCAGTATTAAGTATCAAATTCTCTAATTAGCCATTTGCACAAAAATTGCACATATGGATATGAAAACAAAGTAATTCAGAGTAGGTGCCAGGTACTGTCACATTGGGGCCTCTTGAAAAGTCTGTCTTAAACAGATTAAATGATTTCTTATTGTTATGTTTAGAATAGATTAGAAATAATTGCAGACCTGCATTTGAACTCTTTCCCTAACCAGAGAAAGATTTTGGACAATATTTAATTGCAACTTAAAAATGAGGTCAAATAATGTAACTCTCAAAGCTTGTAACGTCTCTTAATATTACACATCTAAAGCAATATTAGCACCAGACCTTTATGTGCTCACACGTGAAGGTGAGATCAGTATTGTGGTTGTACCAGAGGAGGCTGTTTATTTAGCACTTCTGTGTCCCTCTCACCTGAGCTTGCAGAGTGAGCAGCCAAGAAATGGTAACAAGATTATGATCATGTGATGGAAAAGAGACACTGATAGGAGAAAAGGGAGAGGCAGAGGGGAAGGCGCATCCTGCAGGAGCTGTCAGTTACGGCTGCCTTTACGTGTTAAAAACAAGGCAGCAGAGATTTTAGCTGTGCGTTGATTTTTGGAAAAGCAAGATTGGTTTAAGTCACAACTTGCCTAATGTAGTGTGTCTGGTATTCCTGTGCCACCATGCTGCTGCTTTACACCTTTTTAATTTCTTTCTTAGAGTCAATCTACCGCCGTGGAGCCAGAAGATGGAGGAAGCTGTACCGAGTGAATGGGCATTTGTTTCAAGCCAAACGTTTTAACAGAGTGAGTACTGTTGCATAAAATGTTGGGTTTTGGTAATGTTCTGTGTTAATTGTTTTTCTCAGCCTGCGCTTTTTCTGTATTTGAGTATTGAAAAGAAAAGCAAGATACTTATTCATGTGACTTCTCAGTCTATGCAGTGTTATTCAGGTCATAATAATCAGAAAAACTTGAAAGTCTTTGAACCTGGGATGGAGTTAATATGTAATTGGTGGGAATTATTTTTAATGTCTCTAAAAAGCTGGGTTTGTCCCTACTTAAACTGATGCTTGCCTTAGAGCAGCTTTTCTCCTCCTGACTCTATGTGATTTTGATTGCTTGTTAGCATGATCTTTTACTTTTGGTACTTTTTGTCATTCTTACAGCTCTTAAAGAGCTCTTGATTTTTTTGCTTTAAATGTGTTGAATCTGAGGTATTACATCACCTCATTAAGAAACAAATCTGGTTTATTGAGCTAAAATACAACTATTTTAAGAATCTGACTTAATCCACGTAAGGAAGTGAATGTAGCTTTAAGACTGAGACACCTCCTTCACTTATCCCGTTACGCCTAAGTTTTGCAGCATATGTACAAATGTAGTACATAAACACTTCAGGGAATTCTGTACAGACCTGAGTGCAGGGGGCAAGTGAACTGTTTGATTCAGTAGTAACTGTTTTTTAAAATCAGCTTTTTCTCTCTTGCTCCCCACCCCAAAACTGTATTGAAAGAAGGAAAAGCCCCTTCAAACTCTGTATATTATCCCTAGATATGTGGAAAATATGTCACATATCCAAGTTACAACATGCATTTGTGTAGTGGGGTGTGCCAACTCAGGTTTTTTAATTTACGGTGTGAAGCACATAGTTTTTGTGCTTATTTGCTCTATAGTCCAAACATGTTTCTTTGAAACATTGTGAGTGCATACCTGCCACGTTAATAATCCATAATGTTACAGTTTTAATTGAAATTAGGCAGATATTGAATATGCACATAAAGGTTTTAACACCTCATTAGACTACTTTGTAACTGTCTATACAAATGGAATCATACAAAGTCAGAACACAAGCCATATCTAGCTGCAGTTAGAAATAAAGTGGACATGAACTGCAAAATGTGCTGTAAGAATGTATAAATTTATAATAAGTCATGGTCATGCATGTATTACCAAATTAAATACCAAGTTTTAATGTTGCCTGAATTTTTAAGACTGAAGTATGACCTTAAGAATTAATTCCTTTTTCAAAATAACCTTTTGGAACTCTCAGATAATTCAGGAAAATGAACAGATGCCAGAATCTAAACTTTAATCTTGCTTAACATAAAGGTTAACGCGTATGAAACTCTTTGTATGTGTGTTGGAGTGCTAGGAGAGGAATACCGGCATTAATGGAAGGAATTTGGGAGCCACCCCTATGCCTCTACATCTCCCCCCCCCCCCCCCCTTTGTTTCCCTGCATCTGTCTGAAGTCAATGAAACTATTTTCTTCTATGTCATTTCCAGGGCCTAAGATACTTTATTTAGTCTTAATACTACTGCTGCCAAACCTAGACAGGGATACTGAAGGAAGTCTGATGGACCAGGAATTGTGGAAGAAGTGGCTATAGATGTCCGAGGTTGCTTCTCTTATGAGGCAGTATGGTTGTGTTTTGTTTTTTTTCCCCTGGGCAATGCAGTTTGGGTTTCTCCTGATCAAGGGCAACTGGCTGTGCAGATGAGTGGGATGTCATTAAGTTTTGCTTTCTGCATCTATCAAACTATGAGAAGGGCAATATAGAAGTTTTTTTTTTTTAATTATTAATTCTTTAATCATTAATTCTTTTCTCCTTAATATATTTTTTCTAATATTATTTGTAAGGATTTATAGTAGCTTAATGCTTTTGAGCAGGACACTGTGATTCATTAGTCTGAGGATGTGAATAACCATGCTCTAACTGGCAGTTTGCTGAGAGGAACAGACCTGCTCTGTTCTGTTCTGCGGCTTTGGGACAGTTGCAGAGCTCTGCCTGAGCCTGGGGATGAGAGCAGGGCTTCATGTGCCGCTTGCAGAGTGATGGACAATGCCTTAGACTGTTACAGGACTTGCTGCAGAAAATGTGTAGATAGGGAATAATGATTAAGTCCTGTGCTGGCGACCTGTGCACTGTGCAGAGGGATGACCTGATGCTGGGTGACTTCTTGGCATGTTAAGAAGCTCATATTACAATTTGGCACTTTGGGTAGAGTGGATGAGATGACCACAGCACACACAACCTGGAAAAAATATTTCGAGACCTGCCCTGTTGAAGTCAACAGTAGGATGTCTGGCTTCTTGATTTGTCCTCCTTTTGGTTTAATTTAGTTAGATGCTATGTCCCTGCATGTAGGGGAAAAAAAGACCATATATTTTTGCCATTAAATGGTGCAAGATACAGAGGTTTTACATGAGACTTGATACCTGAGGTTTAATTATGCGAAGTTTCTACCTCTGTTAAAATATATATGTGCAGATATAGAACATGCTTCATTCTTTAACTTGTATTTTGTAATATTTTGTGTTCTCCAAAGCAGTCAGTCCACATGGGTTTTATGCATAATGGTGTAGTACAGATTTCTGCCAGCTTTGTTTGGGTGACCTCTGTCAGAACCTGAAATTCAAAATATTCTGTAGGCATAATTTGCTAATATTAAGCTGTAATGCGTTCCATAGGCTTGGGATGTTTTCTTAACATTCACTAAAAAAGGACTGCATTTAATTGAATTCTAAGCATGAAGTAGAACCTTCAGTTATTGGGAAACCCCTGGATATTCTAAGAGAAATATTATTGTACATCTATTAGGAAGTGACTAATTTTGTATATCTATTAGGAAGTGACTCATTTTTTAGGTGAATTCTTGCTGCTTGATAACTACTTATTTACAGAAAGGAATTGATAACTGAATTGATAATATGCATTCTGCCTTTTAGAGAGCGTACTGTGGCCAGTGCAGTGAAAGGATATGGGGTCTGGGAAGGCAAGGCTACAAGTGTATCAACTGCAAGTTGTTGGTCCATAAGCGTTGCCATATACTTGTTCCACTGACCTGCAAAAGGCATATGGTAAGTTTGTGTTTTGTATGAAGCTAAGATGTTTCATTGTGTCCTGAGTGGCTGGCTGTGGATGTGCCTCTTCAGTAATTAAGTGCTGTGTGTAGTAGTGGAGCTGTAACACTTGGTGGTGGTTGCTTTTCACTTTCTGAACTGAGAAGGTTTCTGGAGGACAAGCCTTTGGATTGTGAGCAATAGAAACAAAGTGAGGAAAGAAAACTTGTGATATGAATTGTGTGCAAGCTTGAGTTTCCCTCTTCCAGTAGACACACCCTATTTTACAGAGAGATAAAGAGTTGTCATTGACAATCATAGAATCACAGACTGATTAGAGTTGGAAGGGACCTTAAAGCTGATCCAGTCCCAGCACCCAGCTATGGGTAGGGACACCTTCCACTACAGCAGGTTGCTCCAAGCCCCCTCCAACCTGACCTTGAACACTGCCAGGGATGGGGCAGCCACAGCTTCTCTGGACAAATCCTAGATTTCTTCCTTTTAGCCTATGGGAGTATTTTAAGAACTAAGGCACTTGTGTGGTTTTTGCACTACTGCATGCAAATAGGCTTTAATGTTCTTTCACGTCAGCTTGCACTGCTAGGTTCTTTGCCAATTTATTTGTGCATGCTGCTACACCTACTGGCATAGTCTTACATGTCTCTCAATGAGTTGTGGTTGATAACCAGTGTCTAAATGTACTATAAGACTATTTGGTATTATGATCTTTACCAATTTATGTTACACCCTTGCACAGTGAGGAACAATTCCTGTTTCTAAACAGGAAAGGAATATGCCAGTGCTCTAAATAGAGTGTGTAACATCATGTTCCAAGTGTTTACTTTGTTGCTGTTCCATGTGAAGCAGACTCAGAAGTCTTAAATAAAATAAAATTTAGAACTTTGCAACAAAATATATTAACCTTGCTTTTAGAAGACGGCTAAGCATCTCTTGTAGTTAAAGACAATGGTCAACGTAGCATTTAGGCATTTTGTAGGCTGGTTTTATAACGCATCACAAAGTGTTAGTAGTCAGAAATACTTTTACAAAAGACAATTTTCATTGTGGACGATACAGATATTAGGTTCTCGTTGCATTATAGCTCAGTGCAAGACATACTCATTTAAAGTTACTGCATATTTTTTTCCTATGTAACTTGTCTGTTCTGCAAGGATTCGGTCATGCCTTCCCAGGAACCTCAGTTAGATGATAAAAATGATGATGTTGGCCTCCCTTCAGAAGAAACTGATGGAAGTGAGTACTGTCTTAAGTCAAAATTCCATGTTCCTCCATTTGGAGGCCCAGTTTCCACCCTACCTGTTTAGGTTTACTTTTTAATAAAGTTTATGTTAGATTAGCTCTTGTTTAGTCCCATGGACTCATTAGGGACTCAATTACAGTAAACATACTTCTGAAACATGTCATCTGGTTTGGTTTCATCCTAAATTCATAAGCTCTGAAACCAAACCACAATGGAAAGTTAAGCATGGAGCAATTTGGAACAATAGATGTATTTTCTAAAACAAACCCCTGTACTTCTGATCTAAACTGGGATGCTAATAAATGCACCCTCAGCCTTTAAGTATTTCATAATTTAGTGTGGTTTATAGTATTCTTTCTGGGCTAGCATTTTGATGATTTAACCTGTCTTGTTTTCAGGGGCCATTTACCATGCCCGTTCTTGGAAATGACTGTCTTTTGTCAGATGCTGCTATGAGCTCAAAAGTCCATTGATGAATTTCTTGCTGTCTCAGAGTAGTTTCTGCTGCACCCTGCTGTCAGAATTACAAGAAAAGTAGGAAAGTTTGGTCAACTGTCCCATAGTATTTAAAGCAGACTGCTGACCCTAAGCTACTCAGTCTTTCCATTTATCAATTTTAAGAATGATTTCTAATGAAGACCTTAACAACACTATTTGATTTCTTTTTTCAGTTCCCTACATTCCTTCAAACCGGAAACATGACAACATTAAAGATGACTCTGAGGTATGTTTTTAAAATATCTCTGTAGGTCACATTTACACGCTCTGAATCATATACTTTCTATAAATATGCCAAATTATTTGTCTTATTTTTTTCTGCTACCTTAAAAAAAAAGTCTGGTGTTTCTTTTTGAAAATGGATTAGTTTTTAAAGAATTATTGCTGAATGTTTTCAGGTTTCTTTTGTATCCAGCTCTTGTTATCCCAATATTTTTTATTTTTTTTTTTTATCCTTTCCATTCATGTTGGAACAACAGTGATTTAGCAGAGGGTTTGACTTTATTGGTCCTAGCAACAAATGGAGGCTTTGACATTATCTTGTCTGCTCTCTCTAATGGATGTACCCCCTTCCATCACCCTCAGGCTATCCTTGCAGTATATGATTATGAAAGTTGGTTCAGTCTGATAATACATTAGCTATCCAGCTGTCTGAGAGGTTTCACATAAATAATACCTAATAATTTATAGACAGCCCCTGTGGAAATATGAATACAATAACATACGCTTAAACTCTGGTTTTCAGATCTTTTGTAGATGATCTGATACAATCTTTGTGTACCAAGAATGTTATTCCCTTAAAGCAGTTAGAACAATCCCAATACCCTTTAATTCTAAAGGGCTCCAAGGCACTTCTTTAAAAGAAGTGCTTCTGGCATATTTAAAATAAATAGGATGCACTCTGCAGAACACTAGCAGTTGGATCAATACCCCACTTTTAGCTGGCCTGCACTTTTTTTTCCTTTACCTCCACTACAATACTTGTCACTACCATTATTTCACACTTGAGTACTTCCTGCTCATGGGTAGTGAATTTCAGTCACATCTTCAGATTTTTGTCTTGGATTCGGAGATGGAAAGGTATAAGTTTAAAACATGTCAGAATTGTGATCTGGTGTTGCTGACTTTTACCATGGTTAGTGTTCAGGTAAATACTTTTTGTACTTAGATTTCTATAGGTGCTATTTGCTCAAGCTCAAGTGTTCTCAATTATGCTGCTCTGATTTTTCTCACCTTACTTTCAAGCTTTAATAAAATAATTTAAGTTATCCTACAGACAGGAAGTGGCATTCTGGGAGCTGCTTTGAGAATCTTTAAGCTCAGAGCAATCTCTTCTAAGAGCAGTCAATCCTAGATCAAGATTCTTTATATAAGTACTTTCCATAGTTCAGCAGAATGTTGATCTCTCTACAAGTACAGTAGTATGAGGTCAGATAAAAATAGGCCACAGAAGTATGTCAAAGCATTGTCTATATTGGTAAAACATGAAATATCAAAGTACCTGCTGCATTTGCCTACTTCAGCGGCTTGTGCTTCAGTCTCACATGTTCGCATTTAACTTCAGCAAAAACTCAAGATAAAGTTTATCTTTTAAAATAATGATTTTTAAAATAAAATTCTTCATAGTGGTATATTTGCTGCAAATTCTCACATTTGAGAAACATGCATGTGCTTCTATATGTTCCCAGGCACCTATTAGAAACTGTACTTAACTTAATACAAGCAGTTGTTACCTAAACTGAAACCAAGACAAGTATATTCATTAGCAAATGATTGTTTCTTTATTCTCCTCCTTTTTTAAGAGCCTTTATTAATTTGTACTGCAATATCTGTCAGAATGTGAAATATTGTCTTCACTTAATACAAAGGATAATTCTATGTGGTCCAAGAGTTTGAGTAAAACTTCATTTCTCAGGACATTGCCTTCTGTTTTCCAGTAGGGAAGTTTAAATAATTAATTGAACAAACTACTGCCTTGAAAACCGTAGTGACTTTTAGCAAGAGCAAAAGCAATACTAAGTGAACATTGCCAAACAAATGTGCTCTTATCAGCCATTCAGATCTGTGTGCCACTGACAATGGGAAGCAAACTCAGCACATTCTGTCCAGTGGTCAAAGACCTCTTTGCTTTAGTAATCGCTTGTTTTGAAAATGTCTTCCGTTTCTAGCATCTGCTTCTTTTTATACAGGAAATCAAACCAGTCATTGATGGAATGGATGGAATTAAGATTTCTCAGGGACTTGGACTACAGGACTTTGATTTAATCAGAGTTATTGGACGCGGAAGTTATGCCAAAGTTCTTTTAGTTCGGTTAAAAAAGAATGATCAAATTTATGCTATGAAAGTAGTGAAAAAAGAATTGGTCCATGATGATGAGGTAAAAGTCTGTGTTAATTGCATTCTGTTACTGTAAAAACTTACTGTGCTTTAACAAGAAACTTTCAACTAAGAAAGCAGCTAATTATGAACTCATTTGTCATGAAGTGGCTGCATGAAGCAACGAGATTAAATCTGAGAGAAATGTCCCTTATGTTAATAACAATTACCAGCTATTAATAGTCTTAGTAGAATGCACATGAAAAATATTCCAACCTGGATATGCTGCAAGTGGTGAGATAAATAGGGTGGAATTTAGGTACTTAACTTTGAAGGCAAATGAATGTAGCTGCAGATTACTGTCTGTGTTTCAGAATAGGAGCTCAAACTGTTCTGAGTCAAGATTTTACTCAAAACTGGATTGTGGCTCATGTTTGGATCCAAGTTTACCTTTCCAAGGTCTTCAGGAGTGTCTGAACACAAAGCCTAACAGATTAATTTGATGGTGATGTTTCTTTATTTCCTTTGAGACTCTAGTTTCACTAACTATCCTTGACAAGAAGGCCTGGTCTCTCAGTGCCAGTCTTTGTTGTCTTCAGATTAGTTGGAAAGCTGGAAGTATTTGTTGGAAAGGGAGATTTTTTAGCACAATTACATTTCTAGTTTATTAGCAGAGTATTGAGTGTTTGCAGGGTGGAACATGATCAGTGTATTACATCAAGAGTGATTATCTACTGTTAAAACCAAATGTCCATAAAGTTTAAATTTTGGATAGTTGTATGAAAAATTACTGAATGCTTCGTTATTGGGGGTCTGAATCTTGCAGTACTGTGCACATATCTTTCAAATTTTTATAGGGTTTTATTATATGGTATTGCTCTGGGTGCTCAGGACTTCTCCCCATTGAAATACTAAAGGTAGTCTATGATGCTTTTAAGAATGATTTTGGCTGGACAAACTAAGCAGGTTTTGGTAGTTTCATTGAATCAATTTTGAGTTTCAGATGAGAAACTGAATTTCAGTTTATTTTGAGCATTGTAAAACCTGGAGATTCACATTGCTTGTGTTACTGGCATGAGTTGCCTCAGCAGCTTCAGGATCATTTATCCAAGCTGGTTGAACTTATTTCTATGAAGCCATGTGAGCAGTGTGTCAAATATTGCAGATGTTATGATGCTTTAAAATGGCTTAAATTTTGTGCAGACCTTTCTAAATGGTTAATTTCTGAATATATAATGGAATTAAAATGTTTTATAACTTCCTCCAGATTTTAGGGGGGTTTGTCTTTCTGAAGAACATATATAACAATGATGGTGTATGTGCAAGGGAGTATAGATGTTCACAGTTTTCTGGGAATACCCCCAGTGATTACCCAGCAGGAGTTCTGATTGTTCAATTACTCTATTTCAGGATATTGATTGGGTACAGACAGAGAAACATGTGTTTGAACAGGCATCCAGTAACCCATTCCTAGTTGGTTTACATTCATGCTTTCAAACAACAAGTCGGTAAGAAAGATCTGAAATTATTTTGTTTTGAAACTCTTGCTCATAGTCCTAACTGCTTCTCATAAACCAAATGTAACCAGCGCCGTCCCACTGTCAGGAGTGTTCAGAAGGAAGCATTAGTATTGCTACAGCAAAACCAGTTCCAGTGGGGAAGCTTAGCCAGTGTGGTGTGGAGGAAAAGGCTGGTATCTCAGGTCCAGACCTAAAGGGAGAACATGAATGAGGAGGAGGAGGAACTGTGTGCTATCTTCCTGAGCACAGGGTGTGTGGCTTTGGGAAGAGGAAGATTGGTAGTAGGGTTAAACACAGGGTTGTAGGAGAGAGTTTATAATGCCTGGTGGTATTGAACAGGGCCATTTTCAGAGGACCAGGCTGTAGTTCTCTGTTCTTCAAATTGGCATAAGAGTCGGGCTGCTCAGCAGTAATAATTTTTAATAACTTAAAAACTATGTGTGTATGAAGTATTTTTTTACCTACAAAGCTTAGCACCTATTGATGAAGTATGTGATTTTATTTGAAATAGTACTTAATAAACTCTTAGCTACTTTGAAATACTATTTTTTTTGTCCTTGTGTGCCCAATCCAGAATGGGTTACTTGCTTCTTATTTTGCAACTGGAATATGAAGAAAATCAAGAAGAACTTTCATGCCCATGCTTTTCTGTGTCACTGTGGAATTTGTATGTTTGAGGGTTGTGGTTTGTTGGGGTGATTTTGTTTCCAGAGGCACCTACTTGCTGTTACACTTCCATAAGTGAAAGGCCTTTTAAGCTAAACCAGTATTTTTACCAAGTACTAAATAGTACTGAACATCTAATGTAGTAGTTCAAGTGATCAGGCAGGGTGAGGTATTGAGGATGAGGTTACTTAGAAATATTGGGAACAATGAAAAGGCTGAGGTCAGCAATAAAAGATCCTTTTTCATGACACTTTGGTACTTACACTGGCATACTTGGGGGAGCAGAAATATTGACAAGTAGCTGAATGTAATTAAAACTTTCTGTATTCCTGCTGTGTCTTCTGGAGTCCTTTTTCCAGCCTGGCTTCTACTTGCAATGAAACTGTAGTGTTTTGCTTGACTTCAGCCTTTTGCCATTGATAGAGCTGCAATGTCATGAATTCAAAATTTGGTTATAGCTGTAATGTTAAAAAAAATCACGATCATAACCTCATTACAGGATCAGAGAAGCACAAAACTGACTTCAAGTGAATTAGCTCATCAACATTAGCTTGTGTTAACTGACCCAAAGAAAACGAGTTGTAATATGAGAACAGTTTATGTGTAAGGGTGCTAATAGGAGGAGGGAAAAAATGTAGTTGTTTGCATTGTTCCAGATACTAGCAATGCTTGTTTTATTATTGTCAAAATATGTACCTTGGGCTTGCACAGACTTGTCAGATAAGTGTCTTCCAAGGATGGCAACAATCTGAAACCTCCATCCTGCACAATCACTGATGTTTGAGTAAATCCTTCTAAAACTAGCAAGGGCTATCAGCATTCACACGTGCTAAAACATGACTTGATACAAGGAACTTTAAATTGCAGGCTCTGGATGGTGATAAAACATTGAAAGCTTCCAAATTGGGTAGGAAATTTGGAAGCAAAAAATATCAGGAATGCTGTAAAAAAAAATGTTCATGGCATTATCTATTTTATTTGTGATTTATTTTTAGTTTTTATAAGTTTTTATATAAGTCTTTATACTCTTGTGGGGAGGCCACTGAAAGATGTGCAAGCTGGGTTGTGTCCAATAATTTTTCCTGTTTTACCTTTGAAGTTTTTAACACTTTAAGTGTTTCAAATGAAGACTTCTTTTCAAAGGGAAGAAAGTCATCTTTATTATTACCAGTTAGAATGGGCTGAGGTAAGACTGGAGAATGTCTTTTCCAAATGGAATGTTTTCCAGTGTGTGGATATATGGAAGGGAGTTTTCAGCTCATGGAAAATTAGATGTATAAAGAAACAATACCTCGTGGGAGAGCTGCAGCTTTCATAAGGAGCCCTTACTCAACATGTTTCTATCCTGCTGGTTTCTCTGACCTTAGCAGCATTGCCTAGATTGTATTTTCCCAAGGATGAAATCTTTCCTGCAAACTGTAATAGAAGTCTCTTTATACAGCTCATTCCACCTGTATTTGTTTTCTTTCCCCTCCTGACTTTTCCCTTGTTTGTTTTGAGAAGGTTGTTTCAAAAGCTGTTCTGCAGAGGAGCTAGTAAGCTCAGATCTGTGCCCAGATCTTTCCTTTAGCCACCATGCCATGTAGGGTGTGACAGAAAAGGGTCCATCATACTGTCTTTTAATTCACCGTTTTCTACAGATAAAGGTTGTGGCAAAGTCAAGGGAGGGTGGGATTTCATTGTCTGCCCTGCTGGCTCACCTATTCAGTTTTCATCACTGATAAATAATGGGGGTGTATGAGCTGAGTCTGTCAATTCTCACGTTCTTTAGTCTCAGTCTGTTCTTCAAATACAACAGAACATTGTGGGTTTTCCTTTTAGGAATGACAGTATGTTTCTTAACACTGCATTGGGAAGAGCTCAGTGATGACCATATGATTTCGTAGAAATAATCTTGTATGTGTTTTTTTTAATAATATGCTAGATTTTGTTACTTAAATTGAAAGAATATTGTCATCTACTATTCAGCTAAAACGTGTGGTTTTTTGAAAGTAAATTCAGGTTGCACTGCTCTAACTGAATTTGTCAGCTTGCTTTCAGTACATCTGTTAGAGCTTTTCAAGAACTGAACCAGCACAAACAGCAAACTTTGTAGTTATGTATTAATATTACAAATCCTACAAAACATACTGATCTGTAGTGTTGCCAGATGCTCATTAATTGAGCAAATATTGTTATTTATTAAACATGGTGACCTTTTAGTAGGAAAACTACATCAAATAGTGATGATAATTTTCAGGGTTTGCCTATGCAGAAACCTTGTTGACTTCTGTGTATGTAAACTACATTTCATTTACAGAGCTCTCCAGATGTGATGCTGCAGCTTGGCTACTAAAAATGAACAATATCTAGTCAAGCAGAGTAACAATTTAATAGTTGTTACGTCAGGGTGAATCTGTCAGGTTTACTCAAAGGTTTGAATTACAATTGATGCATCTTTTAAAGTATTTTTAAATACTAAGCCCTTTATTTTAAATGATCGGCATTGTTGTTGTTACTAATGACATTTTTCAAATGAATGATAATTCTACCTTTTTGTGATAAACCTTCATTTTTGCCATGCACCATCTTCTAGCACACTTCCATGATTGTGCTGTAATTTTTAAAGAAGTCTGTATCTCATTATATGCTTTGGGTGTTTCTTCTGTTGCTGAGTGAGTACCTCATTGGGCAAATGTTTTTGTCTTATGTGCTATTTAAATAAGTTTCTGCAGGTTTTATACCATACAATAGCCTGTTGTATGTAGCTGCCTCTCCTTTATATGCAGTCTGTCATTTAAATAAAGGATGTGATCCTACATGGATCAAATAAGTACTCTTTTTTTCCTCTTAGATAGTTTCTGTAACTGTAAGAAGTCTAGAAGTCGATTCAAGAGTGGAAGTGAAAATGGTTTAATTTGGAAGGATAAGAACAGTTTTTCTTCAGTTTCCTTGGAATCCATTAATTGTATTATATACTTTCAGATTGTTTCTTGTCATAGAGTATGTAAACGGGGGAGATCTTATGTTTCATATGCAACGGCAAAGGAAGCTTCCTGAAGAACACGCAAGGTATTTCACTAACACAGTTGTAGTGGGTTTCCTGTGTTGTATTTTTTTAATGTTTTAGGAAATACTTCCTCAAGTTTATTCCATAGAAGTATATGAATGACAAAGAAAGAACAAAAAGTTCATTCTCAAGTTTAGAATGTACTGCCCTGGAAAGAAATGTGAATTTTGCTTTTCTGAAGAATATATATATTTTTTCAAGCAAGCAAGAATTTGTAGTAACAGTTCCTCCTATTTATTTTGTTTATTGATTCGTATTTAGGTAATACTTGTTTAATCTGTTGATGGAAGATGTAATTATTCTATTTGCTTTGGTCCTACATTGAATTAATATAGTGTTGGCAGGAGAAGAGGAAAAATCTGTTTTGCATGGCTTTGTACTACACAAAGTTCTATTCTAACTCTGAATAAGTGGAAAAGACAGACCTCTTTCATAGTTGGAATTTTCAGCAAAAAATTAGCATAAAGAATAAATATTTTCTTAATTAGTAGAATTAAAGTAATTTCTCATATTTAAAGGAATGGCTTTACAATATGCAAGGTCAGTGTCGTTATGGATAAGTGTAGCTTGGTTTTGGCATGCTGCTGGTAGATAAAAGCTGACTGCAAAGTGATGCTTTAAGGAAAGATTATTTTTTTCTTTGTAATTGTACCAGGTTTTGTACAATCTTAATGCTAATGGGAATTTTCTCCTTTTTAATTTCAGGTTTTATGCTGCTGAAATTTGTATTGCTCTAAACTTCCTCCATGAAAGAGGCATAATCTACAGAGATTTAAAACTAGATAATGTTCTTCTAGATGCAGAGGGTCACATCAAATTAACAGATTATGGCATGTGCAAGGTAGGATTTTTCTTACCTTTCTTTTGTCCCTTTGTCATTCAGCAGCATCTCTCTGGTTATGCTTTTAGGTCAAATACAGCATCCAGTGATTTGTAATTTTTTTCCTTTTACATTTCAAGTTATGTGGGTCATTTTGTGGGACAAAAGTAGTTTGGCCCTTTGGGCAAGTCAATTTCTTTTTCTATTTGTTTGCTAAATGACTCAAGTTAGAAAAATTATGTTTAAGTAAATATGTTTTTAAAAGGGTCTTTTCCATCTGTTAACTGCTCCTGTGAGTCTGAATTTGTCGTTCTCTGAGGTTGGACTGTGCAGATTAGTAACCAAAGGGGCTGTCTGTTACCTCAGCTCTCAGGGGCTGTAATCTTGGGCATTGAGAGGCAATTGAAAGAGCATCATTTTCAAAGCATCTGGCAAAGCGTAGCATGTTCTTAATGTGATGCTTTTTCCCAACATGTGTTAGAGAATGATTTCCAAATTGTTTATCTGGATTTGGTTTTAATTGTGTCTGTAAACAGTAAGCAAAATGTTGTTAGAAGTGTGCTGTGACTCAGTTTTAATCAATTAATTTGCTAAGGTAAGCTGTGAAGTCACTATCCAGCTTTGAGCACTATGAGCATTTGTTTTGCTCTTGCATTTTTTTTTTTTTTGAAAGGAAGGTCTTTAGAATTCCTCAGTCACTTGGCTTTATAAGTCTAATTAAGGGAAATTTGCAGAAAAGGAGGTCAGCTTTTAATTTCTACATGATTTATGCATATAGGAAGGTTTGGGCCCTGGTGACACTACAAGCACTTTCTGTGGGACACCAAATTACATTGCACCAGAGATCCTCAGAGGAGAAGAATATGGTAAGCTGTGACTAAACAATTTGCAGTTATAATAAATCACAAAGCAAAGTTCTAGTTGAACCAGGCTGTTGATCTTCACCTCTATGAGAGAAAACACTGAATTTCATTGAGTCCTGGCTGAAAATCTGCTCTGCAAATGTTTCCAGGGTTCAGCGTGGACTGGTGGGCTCTCGGCGTGTTGATGTTTGAAATGATGGCAGGAAGGTCTCCGTTTGATATTATTACTGACAATCCAGACATGAACACTGAAGATTACCTCTTCCAAGGTATAGTCATTTGGATTTTTGTATTTCCTGGGGGAGAAATAGTGAAAATTCCAGTTCCTGCAGGACAGTTTGTGTTCCCGTTGCCATTGTTACCCTGTAGCTGTCTGTAAATCTACTGTAGATAAAAAACCTCAAATATTTCCAGCTCTTCATCCCAGAAATTTACTTTGTTGAACTCAGATAAAATGGTCTGGAAATAGTAATACCATATTTATTACTACAGAAACTCTGTAACAATTTGGGGAATTGAGAAGTTGCATGCATATGCAAAGCCATTCTTGAAAGTAGTTACTGCAGTTATTTAGCACAATCTGCAATGTTCTTCATATGAGCGTAATGTTAAATCAGTTACTGTTTAAAATTGTACCTTTCCATGTAGTGAGGACAGTGGAAAAGTTTTATTCCCTGCTTACACTACAGACAGTAGAAAAAGCTAGTGCAGCTAATACTTCTTTTAGGAAATCTTGAACTGTCGCTGTAACGGTGCCTTGAATTACTGTAGTTCCTTTAGTTTGCATTATTTTACCTAATTAGTCTGTCTTCCCATTTTCCAAATGGTCACATAATTAAATAATACAGTGTTTCTGTTGAGATCATGGTAATGTCACATACCAAAAGCCAATATTGCTGTTTTTAAACCTGTAACAGTTATTCTCGAGAAGCCAATCCGGATTCCAAGGTTTCTTTCTGTCAAGGCTTCCCACGTGTTAAAAGGGTTTTTAAACAAGGTAAATAATATTCTCTTATTTTTAGCATCTAAGATCTGGAAGTCAGAGCTTCCTGTTGAAAGCAGTACAGTTAAGAGGTTAATCTGCTTACTGTTAAGAAAACCTATCAAACCTTTGTGTGCTGTATGTTAAAAGAAGCCGCTTCTTAGCTGCTAATTTACCAAGTGAATTCCACAGCACAGACTCGATTTGAAAGCCTGAACCTAGTTGAAAAAAAAAACCTATAGGTTTGTTTCCAAGCTTTTTTTCTGTAATACTTTATTACTTATCAAGCTGATTGAAATCCCAAAATTTTATGAGGATATGAATTATACATTACTAAATAAGTGGTTTTTATTTTAAGAAATTGTAAAACCTAATTTTACTTTAAAAAAAAGAAAGGAAAAAGAACAAAAATTCCTTGACAGCCCTACTATCTTAGCAGTAGTTTGCAGTCGTGGGGAGTGCTGGAGTCATGTACATGGGCTGTAAGTGGGACAAATGGGGACCATAACTGGCTTTGAGTGTGTAATGTGAGTTTGTTTCCACAGGATCCCAAAGAAAGGCTTGGTTGCCAGCCACAGACAGGATTTTCTGATATCAAGTCTCATACGTTTTTCCGCAGCATAGACTGGGATATGGTAAAAATTATTCTGTTTATATCTGTCCAAAAGGAATAGATTCTCTAGTTCATTAATTGTATGCACATGTAAAAGCCCCCTTAAAAACAGGGAAATTCAGTTCTATAAGAGTAAAAACTATTTTTCTTTCTCCAGGTGATGGAGGAACAAGGTTTCTTCCATGACCATAATGGAAACAAGCTTTGTTTTTCTACCAAAAATCAGGCTTCCTTCTGAATTCTAGGAATGGTTACAACTTGGGGGTATTGATTTTAAAATAAATGATGAATTTTAAGAAGCATTGTAGGAACCATTTATTCCTTAGTTCCTATTTGTAGATTCAGCCAAGTCATGCACTGGGCTCTGCTGCTGTAGAATATCCCCAGCGTACACACAAGGTGCCTGCAGTTGTGGGAAGGACTCCATAGATCCCTAGAGTCATAGTTCAGTTCTCGGTGGGCATTTCATATAGTCCTATTAGTAAATGTTTCACTGAACATGGAAGTGTGGACTAGCAAAGCCAGCCTGTTGGAATGCTGTCGTAGTAGGGCATTTCTCTTGGTGATTAGAAACCTTTTCTGCCTTGGCAGGACAGGTAGTGCTTGATTTACATGGCCAGCAGGATGGGTAAAGTGTTGTGAAACCAGTTTAGATACAACCATGGAAGATAAGGTGCTTCAGGTACATGAAGCATTTGTAATCTGCTTGTACTATTTTGAAAATAAAAAAGACTGAAATCACAAATGATAGTTTTTTAAATCAGTGGGATTATTCAGGTGGGAAACAGGGTTTAGTTATGTGGATAGGCGTGAGCAGGATCAGGTCCTTATTTAAGGATATGGCTTGAGAGCAGTGTGGTTATTCAAAAAGATTCTTTGATTATTACTTTCAGGTTTTCTTTATTGCTCCTGATGTGAGGGAAGTTTTTAGTTCATGGGGGAATAGATGGCTTGGACTTTAGTGGTTTGGCAAGCATAAAGTTTTGCTTAAATTGGTTTTAATTTTTTAACCTTCACTTGGCAATTGTATCTACTTCTGCCTTCATGGTAGAAAACCATCACAGAAATGGCACTGTTACGTTTATTGCCACTTGAGCAATAAAACGAGTCAGGAACCACTGCCTTATCAGCACTTTTTTTTTTAATACTTAGTTGAACAGAGATAGAATATGTCTTTAATGTTTTGACAGTCCTAGGAAGTCTACAGGAGTGTGGGAACATGCCTGTAGTAATACTAGAGGATTAGGGGAGAAGATAAAACTCTTATTACATTTTGCCTCGGAAGCCTGATGTTCAGACCATCCCTGTTAGCATTCTTAGGAGAAGAAATGCACTGTGTAAGGAGCCAGTAGTTTAAAATACCTCGTGCTTATACAATTATTCCTATAACAAACCCTGTCTTTAATTTTGTCAGACATCCCTTGTTTTGCGTTCTCTCTCAAGCCTGAATATTAGGGTTAACAACCTTGTGGTGCTACAGTGCAGCTTGCTTGAGATTCTGTAGGAGAATGAGCATTGTGTGCTGCAGGGTTGTGTTTTCTTCTGCAGAGGTTCTGTTTTGTGATCTGATTAGGACAGTGCTACTCAGGAGGATCTCATGTCCTGAGCATGAGAAGTTCAGCTGAACTTATAATGAAGAGCATTGGGAAGTACATTCAGAGCAAAATGAAAAAATATTTGGAAGCTTTTTTAGGTATTAGACTTTCCTTTGAAATGCAGATGATGAGGAGAAAAGATTTTGACTTAAAAGCTTTTCCAGATCTTTTCAAGTTGAAACAAGAGTCTAACACTGACTAAAAATCATTTCTGTGTTAAGCTCAAGTTACATGGAAAAATTTAATAGAGGTGAACACTTTTTTTTTTCTTTCCCCTCATGTTAATCATCAGAGCTGTGTGTGGCACAGCCCAGAACATTTTAGATTCCTCACTCTGCATATAGGATGGCTGAACAGCATTCAGGGAAGTGCCAAGACCACATTTTTTCATAGAATCATAGAATAGAATAGTTAGGGTTGGAAAGGATCTTAAGATCATCCAGTTCCAACCCCCCTGCCATGGGCAGAGACTCCTCACACTAAACCATGCCACCCAAATGAAATTTTGGTTATTTCATACATGAAGTCTGTTCTCATGCTTTTCTATATGTTTTCACACTTTAGTGATTTTTGAAGGTCTTGTATTTAAAAATACAGCAACAGGATAAAAAGGATGAGCATACACCACTTAGTGTCGAAATGGTCTAAACCTTAATGTCAGATGATATTTAACACGTTTCTGTCTTCCAGTGATGTTTGAGTCCACTACAGTGACTGCTCTGTGCATGTGCTTTAGAGCCAGCATGTGTGGATGTTCTGTGGAAACCTTGTGAATATGCAGGACTTTATTTTCCCTCTCCCCCATTTGTGTTTGTATCTTAGCTGGAGAAGAAGCAAACCACCCCCCCGTTCCAGCCTCAGATCACAGATGATTACGGTCTGGATAACTTTGACACACAGTTCACCAGCGAGCCTGTGCAGCTAACCCCAGATGATGAGTACGGGTTGTCTGTGTTTTTTTTTTTTTTTCCCCAATGTAATTGCATATTGAGAAATCAATTTATAAATTACTTGAAAACTACTAGGAGGAGACTCTGTAGTTAGCATTAGAACATAGCCAAGTTGAAGTAAATTTGATATCCTTTTTATCCTACCTATCTTGCATAACTTCTCATACTTACTGTGTATAGAAGACTGCCTGGTATTCTAACACAAGATGGGAGTACAGCGTTGATTTGCTGCTGAGTGTGTGCTGGGCACTGAGAGAGGACACAAGTTCAATTCCTGACCCAACCAGCTGCATTTTTGTAATCAAAAAGTATTAGCTTTGTGCTTGACTCTTTAATAGTATTTATCTTTAATATAACATGAGAAGCCTATGCTGACAGTAAAATGTGTTTCTTATTTTTAAATTGGTTATTACAGAACAACAGTCATCTATTACTTGCTGCTTTCAGGGCCTTATAAGTGCTACTTAGTAAGTGTTAGTAACTGAACTGGAAGGGCAGAAGAAACTTTCTATCAGATCATCATCATCATCACAGACTGGTTTGGTTGTAAGGGACCTTAAAGCTCATCCAGTTCCAATCCCTGCAATGGGCAGGGACACCCTCCTCTAGAGCAGGTTGCTCTAATCCCTGTCCAACCTGGCCTTGAACAGTGGCAGGGATGGGGCATATAATAATGTTGAAGAATAATAGTAGTGGTAGTAGTAATAAAAAATATATTTCTCCCCATTTAGTGTTGTTTCTGTACAACTTTGCATACATACTTCACAGAAATGCATTTTGTTATTTGGAGAACAAAACCAGCATTTGTACTTGATAAAACTAAATCAATGCTCTTGGTTTTTTTTTCAGAGATATAATAAAGCGAATAGATCAGTCAGAGTTTGAAGGATTTGAATACATTAATCCGTTGTTGCTGTCAACAGAAGAAACGGTATGAAGGAACAACATCTTCGTTGTGAACAGTGTGAATGAACTTTAAATTTACCCTTAACCACAGTATATGCATGCGAGGCTGGAGAACTGTACATTTTGGATGGAGACGAATGATTTAAAAACAAACAAACAAAAAAAAAACCCAACAAATTGCTGCTGAAAATCAAAGAAGAGAACAATGATTTTGGTGGGTGTCTTCTGCCACTTGATGATTCTTAAGTTCTGGGCACTGACACAACTGGCCTCATTAATGAAGGAATTTGCATTTTGTGCCTGTTTCATGAAGGATTGAGACGTTCATTGCATCCCTGGAAAAGGAGATTCTGCAAAACTTTGAGACCCACACACTTCCTACAAATGCTTGATGCAATGAGCTACCGATTGAAGAGTATTACAGTGTAACATCCTGAAGAATAAAATACATTACAGTGGTGTTGAAGCTTATTTTTGATGCCTTTTTTCACAAGTGGTACCTGTCTAAACATCTTAGATATATTTAAAAGGAGTTGTGTTTTATTAGCAATCAAAACATAAATTTGGGTACAAGATTTAAGTGCCTAAATGGGTAAATGGCATTGAAGAATTATTATGTATCTGGAACATTCTTAAACCTGGTAAGTTCTGCTCATTAATATTAAGTGACTATTAATGTGTGAACAGAACAATTCTCAGCTGCAGCTGAGCAGGTGTTTGTTGGCACCTTTATTGGATTTGAAATGCAGAGTGACTCAGCTATATTAATTCCAAATTAGAATTTGCAGATTTCTGAATCTGTCGTCTTAGAACTCCAAATTTACCAAAATGTTTCAATTGAAGAAAACTAAATTTGCACACAAAGGAGTTAGGAAAAGACTTAAGCAGTGCCTACACCTACAGTTGTATATTAGATTTTTGAAAAGTATTTTTATCAGCCATACAGATATTCAGAAATAGAACAAAAGTGTAACTAAAGCATAGCCTTAAAGTCTAAGTAGTAAATCTAGAATAACCAGAATCTAGAATACACTTTCCTGATAAAGCACACCTCCTACTTCTGATAAAATGTCTGCTTCCAGTTACTCAGTGTTTATTAATAAGTAATCGTTCTAATTCAGAAAATGGGAAGGTTTGGTAAAATGATTTGCATTAAAGTAGTAATTTTTTTTTATGGATGGAAAATGAATATTGTAAGAAATTGGATAAAGCAAAAGCTCTATCAAATCCCTTCTCATGGGAAGTTGGGGGGCGTTGGGGGCAAGGAAGGGCTGGTTTACATCAAAGTCTATCAGCTTGGAGAAGCTCACCTCACTATGTTTGAGATTAGGGAGTGTATGTTGCTATCTGGAGCTTCGGGAGCTGTGAAGATGTACCTGCCTCTGGGAGCACCAGTTGCTTCTTGCTAGCTCTGAGGGTATGGGCTGTAGAGATGGGGGGGGAATTATGTGGGAAGGAAAAAAGAAACCCTAAGCCCCTGTGCTCATCTCACCTGATGTGGTGTAAGCTGCAGCATGACTTGCAACACTTCGGCTTGCTTTCCATTCACATCTGGTTTTCTCAGGGTACAGCATTGCATTAGGTGCTGAACATGACATCTTTTGGATTCACATCCAGGTCATGAGGTGCTAGGACAAGACTGCCAAAACATTGTTTCAAATTGTCAATGAATTGCCGATTAACAATCTGTGCTTGTATCCCCTCCTTCCCCAGGAGTACACAGCCCGTGCTGGTTGTGTTGATCCCATTCAGGTTTCAGCTGTGGGTTTCTCTGTTGGACTGTACCTTTTCATATTCAGAAAAATGTGTTTTAATCAGCACTAAATAATTTAACTGGTAAGAAGTACTTGCCTCAAATGCCTGGACTTGAGATACTTTATCTACTAAAGGAAACATTTACGTTTTAAATGTAATCTGACAGTTTATAATCACTCCTCTCCCCCTCCTCCACCTCCCCCATTTCTTGCTGGTAATTTATTTATCCTGAATAATTTTTTGGGTGTTTTCAATTCCCCTGGTAATAAAATGAACCAGTAGTTACTGGAGTGACTGCAGGCAGCTCCTGCCTGGGACCATGACAGATCAGCTGTCCTGTGACACAAACAGGGCAGAGAACATCAAAATGGAAATATTAAGAACGTGGGTTGGGTGGTTTTTTAACTTTTTTTTCTAGGTTTTGGAACATTTGGGGAGGGAGGGAAGGAAGAACACGAAGACACATTTGCTAAACAAACATTGTAAAGACTACTTGATTTTATTTCAAAGATTTACAGGCATTTACAATGTTGCTGTGTTGCCAAATAGTTTGCTGGATCCAAGTTTGGTTGCTCATGTGCAAGTGTTTGAATAATGTTCTGTTCCTGATGAAGGGGAAATTTTTTATATAAAGTACTTGTTTTATAAATAAAGAAAATGAAGGATGTAATTAAATGTGTGGTTTGGAAAAATAAATCCTAATATATTACAAATGGATCTGATAATGATATATAGTTGTCTTATTTGAAATAGTAAATGAAAATTCTAGCTAATTTAATGATTGTAAACCAGTAAATATGTTCTTGTAGTTTTGTATAATTAATTAGTTGGGATCTTTGCTGACCAGTTTTAATTGTGCAGAAGATGGTATACTAATCCCTAAAAGCTAAGATCATTTATATTCTTGCACATCTATTAAAGACTTTAATGACAAAGCTGATAGACTCGTATTATTTCTCAGTAAATGGACCTGAGTCCCACTTGTGCTTTTGGAAGAGACTGCACTGTGAATTGAATCTCTGATTCATCCTGTACTTGGATGTTGTATTCCATGTATGTTCTGTGGCACAGGTTTGCACCCAAACCAAGGAGTTTGCTGAAATAGGAAACTGTTTGGATGCTGAAGTTGTTAATTGGAGTTGTACTCTTCTTCCCTGTGTGAAGGCAGTTGTGATTGGAATAGCTGGAATGGGCACAACTATTCTGCTCTTGGATACAGCCCTCTGGCAGGAAACAGATGTGAGCTGTGAGGCTGTGACTGGCAACACTGTGGCATGAGTAGATTACCACGGTCTATAAACAACTGACTGTACTTGGGGGAAAGGAACAACCCACTCCATCCCTAAACCATCACTAAATGTCACTTATTCTTTATTCCCAAACTTTGATGGTATCCAGGCAGGATGGAACTGATAGAAAAAGCAGCTGTTTTGGCTGGCTGACTGCATTAAATCTTGTTTTGCATCTCAGTAATGTGGAACTGGCAGGAGCGGTCTCTTACTAGAGCCCAATTACTTTAGCCTAGTCCTGTTAATGTAGAAACCCCCAACCTAAGGCTCTGAATTCAGCTGTGTTCCTTCAGAAAGATAAAAAAACCTCACAGCCTTTACTTGGTCTGGGTTGTGTTTCCTTTTAACATAGATACACTCACAGAACCAGCTGTACAATCATATATGTTCTTCTAAAATGTTAAAGATGCTAAGTTTTAATAACTTCACACTTATTTTTACAGATCACCTGTTTAGAAAAAAGAAAAGGTCTGTGAACTTCTGGATTGCATTAAGTTACCTTCTGTTCAGCTGGTTTATTCTACACTCAGAAGAGCTTTGGGGCATCACCAACATGAGTCCCTCAGGGATTTACAATTCTACATTGTTTCAGAAGTCCTCAGCTTCCAGGAGTACCAACACTGATTGCCCTGTGTCTGGGAGAGCCCCCAGCACTGTTTTGGGAACCAGAAGTACTTCATATGCCTCTGAGAGGATTTAAGAGAAAAAGACGCCAAGCTTGGTGTTCTACTTAGGTGACTGGTGTGAGACAAGGACGTGCTTCCTCCACGTGTTTTTCCTTTTCTTATGAGAGACGTTCCTCCTTGGCTTGGTTCCTTTTCATTCTTCTGGATTTAGGATTTACCACACTACATCATCTGTACTTTCAGACAAGCACATAGCAAGGTGCTCATCAATGTCTGGTTGTGACAGCCTGCAAGTACAGAGAATTTGTTCAATGAGAAACAAAGTCAAACACTTAACTTACTGTTCTTCACCTTCACTCTAGCACAGAACTGAATATGAAGACCTGAAGCATGGTTATTAGCCTGTCTAAATCTCTTGATCTAATGACCATGATTGTATAAATACTCCTGAAGTCATCATTCTGTCTCTTTGTTCAGCCACCAAAAGACAGAAAACCAAGCAGCAGCCAGAAACCTCACAGTGTTAGAGGATCTGTTACAGAACTCATGTTTTACTATTTTTTTACTATATTTTACTATACTATTAAATGGTGTTAATTTCAAGAGACACCATAATTCTTACTATAGTAGTGGATACTCGATTGCATGGAGTCTCATTCAGTTGTGCTAATTAGAGCTGGCATACAAGACATATCCCCTTCCTTCCCTCTTGTCCACACCTTGAGAGCTAAATCTAAAATGAAGACCACAGTTGCTCAGCCAGAGGCATCTGGGTCCTGGCTGAACAGGTACCACTGTGGCTATAACAGCAAAGTCCAGATCTAGAAGAGCAAGTGACAGAGACAAGATTAATCCATCTACGTCTGAAACTAGCTTTGAACTATTGAGAATGCTACACCAGAATGGTTTTTGGATGATGACACAAATGTCACTAGTATTTTTGTACTGAAGTATTTAAAAATGTTTATTCTGTTAAAATGCTAACGCATCAAGGTTTACCAGAGAGCTCAAACTTGGCTTTCCTTTTGAAGCAATATAATCTAGTAAACATATGCTTCTAAACTGAATTGTAAGTAGGTGATTCTGACACTTAAAAAGTAGAAGTTTTGCCCAATTTCTTTATTGCCTATAGAGAATGCAGCCAGAACCAGACTGGGGTTTGTATACTATCCAGTTATTACCCCCCACCCCCCCCAACTCACATTCCACTAAAGCAAATGAGACACATGGGACAACTGTCAAGAGTTGGAGCTCCTTCACCCTGATTTTCTGTTTCTTCCTTGCAGCTCTTGGTTTGAGGTAAACTTGCAAGAGGCAGGTTCTCTTCTGCAGGTGAGCATCTGGCCTCTCCAAAGGAAACATCCCCTTGATGTGTTTGTAGCTGAAGCTCTTTTCCATGATTTTCTTTTCCATTTTCCATGCTGTTCTGTGCAGTCCCTCTGCAATGCTCTTGATAGCTCAAAGCTTTTGCAGAGCATTGTGGCAATGCCAAGTGGTGCACAGAACTCCCGTGCCAAGTGAGTTTACATGACTTCAGACTTGCATCTGGTTTTGAAATAGCTTCTGTGTCTTCCCCAACCACATGTTTGGCTTGATCTGTAATAGTTACACAGCACATCTTCTCAGCTGCACATGGTAAACTGCTCAGTTTATCTGCTTGGCCTTGTCCTTTATGTAGGTGGTTGATCTGGCTCTGTGTTAGCTGATAGGAGCTAAGATCCTCTGGGTTTAGAAGTTCTTCTTTGCAAAAAGATGGGAATGACACCCATGGAAAGTCTTTCTTTCCAGCTGTAAAGACTTCCTGTTCTTGTAGACTCTCTTCCTTGGAGCTCTGACACATACAAATAATGTCTTAAAACAAATGCCGTTCCATCAATACATGAAACCAAAGATGAGCATAGTACAAATACTCAGAAGGCTGAATTACACTGAAGAATGTTTTACTTACATCCCTCTCCAGTGCTTGTAAAGCAATTAAGAACTTCCTGGGGGTTATACAGTATGTGTATTCCCTTAACATTTCTAAATTGATACAACAGGGTACTTTCTTAATGTGTTCCATAGAGACTAAGGATGAAAACAAGCTGCTGCTGCTCAGGAAAAATAATTCTGCTTTAGAAGGTCTGTGTGGTTTGTGTTAAGGGGGCCTACAAGGATGCTGGAGAGGGACTCTTCATTAGGGACTATAGTGGTAGGACAAGAGGTAATGGGTTCAAACTTAAGCAGGGGAAGTTTAGGTTAGATATAAGGAAGAATTCTTCCTTGTGAGGGTGATGAGGTTCTGGAATCGGTTGCCCAAGGAAATTGTGAATGCTCCATCCTTGGCAGTGTTCAAGGCCAGGCTGGAAAGAGCCTTGGGTGACATGGTTTAGTGTGTGGTATCACTGCCCCATGGAAGGGGGTTGGAACTAGATGATCTTAAGGTCCTTTCCAACCCAAACTATTCTACAATTCCCTACCACTGCTGGAGCAATGAAATGGTAGTTTCTGTGTAATTAACCTCTCTGTTGCAGTTTGCCATGTCCTGTTTATTCCATCAGTGAGATGCCAGTGCTTCTGAGCAGCCAGGATACTTAGACATGTAACTCTTTCCAGAAAAACATTGTAAAGAATTTGCCATACAGCAAAAGAAGCCCCAGTAGTTGTCCTACAACAGTGCTAAGTCACACCATTACGTGTAGAAGCTGAAGAGCTTAAACCCGGTACTGTTTAAAAGCTATTTCAGATTTCTTCCCGTTAACATCATCATTCAAACTGTCACTACTACAAGCAGTACACAAAGTGCAAACAACAAGGGTACAGCACACTACCTTTCCAAAGAACTCTGGAAACCTGGGCACTGCCTGCCAGTCTGCGCGTTGGGAATCTTGACTGATGCCTTTCAGTAACAAACCCCATGGTTCTTCACACTCATTTAAGTCTTCTTTTTCAAACCAGGAGCAGCTGTCAGTCAATGACCTGTAACAACAGAGACAGTCCAACAGTTTGAGAGTAGGAGAGGGAAGAAAATATTCTGCATTGCTGTTAGTTTGCTCTTAATTCATTTATCCCTCCTGTAATGCTGATGGTTAAAAAAACGTAGCTACCCTTAACTGTGATTTATCCAAACAGAAGTTTTAAGATTAACTTCAGTAGCTGACAGTGCATCACCTCTTTCAGCTTAGTTCAGCAAGTGTGGTGACCCCTTTCCTTTTGTTACCAGCTAAGCACAAGGCAGAGACTTCATGATTGAAAATACTTAGAAATTTTCCACTTGTACAAGATAAAACTCAATTCTTACCTGTTTTCTTTTGACCAAGTAGCACTATAGGAGCTAAACAAAAAATACGAGTTGACAATTTTGTCATGTCAAACAGCAGAGGCATGCAAACAGCATTTATTGGTAGGTACAACCATACAAATGCAGATTTTTTACTTTAAAAGTGAGGCAAATTGGCCTATGCAGTAAAGATTCAGATGTTTAACACATTTGTTTAGCAATGGAACCTCCATCTAGCCTACAGCAAGGTTTCTATGGAACACAGAGGCATTATTTAGCCCATAAAAATAATTTTTACAGCTTACTGTGACTTACAAAACTCATACAGCTATCAAAAAATGACCCATTTTTAGAAGAATGTCTAAAAGCCTTGTTTCACTTGTAAAAACCAGAAGCAGTATTTATTATGGTCTTCACTTCCATGTGAAACAGTTAAGCGTAGCCACTGTTTTTTCTTCTCAAATACCCAAATTGACACTTGCTGAGCACAGATATCACTGCAGCGTTTGCACTGAGGATGGCAATCACCCTGGTTCCCATGTATGCCTGGCCACACTGCCGTTTAAAACTACTGATTGTAAACTTGAACTGATCCATCCTAGGAAGGTTTAACTACTAAGTAAGAATTAAAAGGTTTTTATACTAGTAATACTGTGTAAAGAAAATTTCAAGAGATGGACGGGCTGTTCGTGTCAGAATACTGCTTCCAGCATTGCCACTTCCTACTGCTGTATTTTCTTGTGTCAGTCCAGGAATGACACTGCACATGGAATAAACTAGAGACTGGTCTCTCCCACCCTCAAGATGAGGAGCAATGGTCCTTTGGAAGCCCATTTTCAGAGGGGGCACAGCTGATGGCATGCTTGCTCGTCCTGACAGGCTGACACAAGAACCTCTTGTCTCTTCACCTCGCCTTCAGCCCTGTCTCGAGGGCTGGAAAGAAGCAGGAATTATTGCTGGTTTCCTGTAAGTTAGTCTGAAAAAAAGAAACTTTAATTCTCAGGAATTATTCCTGCTGAAAAGAAGATATCTTAATTTTCACAGCGTTTCTAACGAGCCCCATCCTTACTGCTGTTCTGTGCGGGAGAACACGCAGAAAGCTCAGCGCCCAGCGCTCTTTAGTTTGCAGGTGACTTCTCGATGTTTCCAGAGGCCCCACAGGTGACGCTTATCAAGAGGCCTTTAACGCCGTTAGCGACGCGCTGAAGGCGCACCTCAGGCACGGCTGAAGATCCAGCTCCATCTTCCCGGTAAGGGGTAGGGCGGGTTCCTTCCCCAGGGCCGCTGTGGCAGCTCCGGCCCCTCGGCAGAAGCCGCTCATCCACCCGGCCCTGACTCCCTGGCGCCGCCCGGGGTGCTCCTGGCTCCGGGCTGCTGGCTCCTTCCTGGGCTTGAGGCGCAGCTTGGCGGCTCCTTCCTCAGACATGGCGAAGGCGCGGAGCTGAGGCCCCGCCTCACAGCTCCCCTCGTCCCGCGGGAGGGCGGGTGGAGGGACCTGCGGTTCCTCCTCCTCTTCCTCCACCCCGATTTGCCGGCAGCCAGGGTAGGGACTCTGGGCGGGCCGGCTCCCGCTCCGCCCTCAACACCGCCCGCGAGGGATGGGCGCTGTGGGAGGGTAGGGGCCGGCTTGCGAGGGGACCACGCTCTTCTGAGGGGGAGCCTGCCCTTCCCCGCGCCAGCCGCTGTGCTCAGCCGCGCCGCGCTCCACAAGGGGTGCAATACGTGTAGTACCCTCAAGGTGTTTGTCTCGATAAGCCGCCCTTCCCGTGTTGCCTTTATTCCTTAAACTGCCTGTATTTGTAACGTTTGGGTGTATTTGGGGTTCGGCTGTGGAGCCGCTGCTGTGGAAATGCAGCATGCTCCCTTGGCGTTGGCTGGACAAAATGGCGGTGGCTCGGCCCTGGCAGCCAGCGCCATTGACGGTGGTGTCAGGCTGCAGGTAAAGATTGTTAATCGAAACAGAAAACTAGATTGGGGGTGCATCTCTGATACAATTTCTCATTCAGGAAGCAGTCTGTTGAAGCGATCGCTTTGCCTTTTTTGGTAAGAATGTCGATGGGTGACTTGAGGTAAAGCACTCCTCAGCGCAGAGCCGTTGCCCGTAGTTTTTCAAATGGGCAGACACAGGCTGTGGCCTCTTCAAAACCAGGTCTAACAGAGAAACGGTGACAGCCTCTTCGTAATTCTCCAACAGCAGATAAAAGGATTGGAAGGTAACTGCCAATTAAGTGCTTCATAATTGATACAAGAATAATTGTACAAGGAAATAAAAATGTCTGATAACAGATCTGTATGAGGGAGAGCAGGTACAGAACACTGTCTTTCATAAGACAAATTTATTAGTGGGAAAAGATGACTCCACATTCCTTTTCTGTAACCGCTTTTGAGCGGTGCTGAATGTCTTGTGGACTGTTTCATTCTTGCATCCCTCAGACCAAAACGGAGGCATCAATATTGACAGCAGCAGTGTTAAAAGTTAATGCCTGTGAATTACCATGTTGAGCACATGGACCATAAAAAATGTGCTAACTAACAGGTGACCTGAGTTTCTGCGTGTCTTGAACAGACCTGAACCAGAAAAATGCCATTCAGAGTTCACTGATTTGGGTTTGAAGTAGATCAGCAGATTTAACCTGAGAAGTGACAGGTACAGGCAGACATCCACCTCCAACTGTGCAACAGGCTGAAGATGATTCAGTTGGAGAGCAGTCAGAGATCTGGGATGCTCAGTCCAGTTCACTGCTTTCCTGTGTTAGCTCAGGTACTTTTTGTTTCTGTGAGTCCATCTCCGCAGTGAGGTGATGGCTTTTACTCCAAGTAGTAACTAATTTTTAACATTATAAGAGCTTTAATGGGTTTTCTTTTCATGTAGGGGTGAGGATAAAAAGAAATGTAAAGTGTCTGGTTACTGATGTGAATGATGTAAGCTTCTACAATAGATAGCCCAGCTGAAAAATAATTTAAAACACAGTCATATTAGAGCATTGGCATTTCTACTATATGATAGGCAAAGAGAATGAAATTCAGGATGAAAGAAATGAAAAGCTGGTCACTGTCACACAGACAAACATTTCCCTGTATTAATATTTGTTACAGCAATGGCAGTACCAAAGAATTACCAGAACAGTTACAAAGAGTGTTCTGCCTTTTGACTTTGTTGTCATTTAGAAGCTGCTTCCCACTGAGATGAGAGGAGGTTCCAGGAAATAATGGCCTCCTCTCCATCGCTGTCAGGAAAGGCATTCTCCCAAAAGTTCCAGATGGAACAAGGTAAGCAGAACAGAGGCAAGGGGTGAATGTGAAGGTTTTAGGCCTGCTGTGGAAAGAGACATGGTTATAGCAGCAGACGCAGCAAGAATATAAATAAAGCAAATATGTAGATTGAAAAGGGGGATCAGACGTATACATGGCTGAAAATGAGGTGACAGAGGAGTGGTCAAAATTTGATTTCACAATTGCTGATGTTAATTGAAGAAGAAAAATGGAAAAGCATTTAATTTTGGGTATGTTACTTGCCAGCCTCAATGCCTGCTGTGAATGAGAGGACACAGCACTGCCTATTGCCACTTGGCGGCAGCAAACAATATAAAAATCTTGCTTTAAAAAAAATCAGCTGTCAGGTTGAGCTGATGTCTGCAGGCCTCTGTACGTAATTCTCTGTACACCTATGTTAATGATTGTTTCTGCTTCTGTTCCTGTAGTATTTCGTTAGCATTTTACATATCTTACTATCCCTTGGATACTACTTTGACAAGTCTCTGTTCCTAAGTCACGCATTGTACCAACAGATTTATTTCGTTAGCTGTGACTTCTCCTGAAGTAGCAGGCAGAAGTGGAGTCTGCTTTTCGTGCTGAAGGTATTGCTGTGTGGCACTGTTAGTGCTGTGAGTCATCTGTTATAGCATTGGCAAAAGCTGTATTATGGGTCAGCATAAAAAATGGTTATTGTGTGGTAAGAGCCATAAATGAAAGAGTATAGTAAAAAGAATAGTGAACGTTATTACTGCTTCTGCTGATCGTAAAAAGCAGAAGAAAAAAAAAACCTTGCTTCTGTAGCAACTATAGCTTGTAGGTGGCTTTGCATCTTGTGGATTTAACTGAAAACTTGAAGCTATAAGACATTATTTTTATTTTTTTTTAATTGTTACCTGTTTAATGCAGCCCCATTATAACCTATGAGAGCAGGCACATCAGGGAACATTTTAATTCTTGCTCTGTCTGCTTCTACCTACAACTACCTGTAGATTTGATACTGACATTCTAGAAATCTTTGTCCATTATGTGTACTCAGATTTTTCATCTGCATCTTGCCAGAATTAATAATGTACTTACAGCATGAAGGTGGGGTATAAAATAGGACCTATTCTTGGCTCTTCTATGTTGCACTACTGTTTCTTCCGCTGACAGAAATCTTTTTACTTCTTGCCTGACTTTGGGTCTTGCATAATTAAGTAATGAAGAGTGGTTTGTGATCTTGGAAAGAAGTTCTCGTAGAAATGCAAAGAGTAGTCTTTATCAGCAGCAGCCTTGTCTGGATTTGAGCCAGTGGTCAAGGGATTTGAGCTTTTGGAAGCTAGAATGCTTCTACAGATTATCTTTAGGGATTTTCTTCTAAATGGAATGCCAGCATGTGTAGTTAGCTATTCCCTGTAGAGTCTCATCAAGCTGCACACACTTTATCTTTACTTACATGGTCCCTGATGCTTGCTGTAAAGTGGGCCTCAGTTTTAACTTTTGCTCTCAGGAAGAAGGGGCTATTACAACAAATTCTAATCCTTTTGCAGTTCCACAGTCACTAAAGCCTGTAAATTGCCTGCCAAACCAACGAAGTGATCTTTTCCTGGGCTGAGGGAAAGGGGAGAGTGTAAAACGCAGGTGCCAGCATTTGCTGGGGAAGAACTGGTACATTATCTACTAATCCGCCTTCTGCTATTTCTGATTTCCTATCCAACAGCTGCAACATTGAATGAGAGCTTCTGCATTTGGGAAGAATTAGAAAGCCTGGTAATGCAGGGTCTCTATTACAGATACAACAACTCACAGACAGGGAGGAGATTTTTGCTGCTGGTGTAGAATTTGGTGTGCTAGGCATTTTATAGCCTGGAAAAAGTGTAATTTTCAGCTGTTGTTATGGAGTAATCAATGAAGAAGAGATACCATAGTTTCTGCTGTGTTTCTTGCAAAGCCTGATGTAATTGCATGCATGTGCTATTATTTTTTTCAAATGTACCACTTTGAGGTTAAAGCATATGCAATTTTTGTTAAAACTTTGAGGTTTTTTGGTGACTGATGCTTGCAGACAGTTCTAGTCCTTCTGAAATATCTTTGGCTCTGTAGTGACAGCTCCTGCGTCAAATAAAAATGTTCAGAATAAGTCGTGCCTTGCTAGAATATGGAAACATTATTATGTTTAAATTATTCTATTAATCAGTGCTTGGTTTAGGAGTATGCATTGGTAATTTTTTGTCCTTGTCAAATAGTTTGTGACTTGGGGATCAACACCTTCATTCTGCTAAATATCATGAAGGAAAATGTGCCCCAAAATGGCACAGGAGACTGAAGCAGGTATTGTAGAGCATCAGTGAAAGCTGCTGCAGTGAATGGACTTTACGGCATATCTCTGCAGCCCAGTGTCAGCAAATGCAGCACTGGAAAGAGTAACTCAATCATACTGGCTAGCTCAGTACAGTGTTAATCACTGTCTGCAGTGAAATAGGAAATTCTGACTATTTTCATCAACATGATGTGTTACAATTCAAACCACAAAATTATGAAAGGTACGTAAGACTTCCTTTAGCATAGTCAGGAGAATAAAGATGACGTGCAGTTTCAATTTGGGAAGTGCAGGCTCATTGCTCTTTCCAGAGAAAGTCAGTTGAGTGGAGACAGTTTTGTAGGCTCTCCCTGATTTTAGCTGTAGGTGACACTGTCTTTTCAATGAAAGCCATTGCCAGTGCACAACTCATCAATTCAGCCTTCCCTTCTCAAGTATAAGGACACATCAGTACCTGTGTGGCTACATATAGAAAATTAATTCGTGACATTTATGTGCCAAGATGGAAAGACCTAAAAAGAGGACTAGGGAGCTTGGCATGGCATTTGTGGGTACCAGGTTGCCAAGGAAGCATACTGTATTGAAACAGTTGCCTGGGAAACATTTAAAAATACATTGAATGGAAAAGCATATGTGATGTGCCCACAAGTGTTCTGTGTGAATGAAATGCCATGGCTGATGATGGCACCAAGAGGCTGTTACTATTACATGTAAAGATGCTGCAAGTGATGTGGTGTTATTTTTCTTTCCTTTTGTGTGTTTTTCTTCTTCTTCCCATACCCTGTTTGTAGAAAGTGCACAGAAGGAAAATTGTTTTGCTTTTGGCTGATGGATTAAATTAAATGGAGAAAGCTGTACATGTGGTCAGCAGCAGCTAGAGATGGTAAAAGCAATTTAGCTTCATTTAGGCAACCTAAACCAATTGACAAGAAGCCTGCACAATTCTTCCTCAAAAATAACAACACTGCTGAAACTCCTATAGGATAAAGATAAATGGTTTTCTGAGCATGAGCACTTTAATTTGTGCTAAAATGATATTTGGAGGCTCTGATGTCATTGCAATAGGACTTAGATGTAAACATCATATAAAACGCAAGGAGTTTATGATCAAAGCAGGTTGGACAGCGTGGATGAAAAAATGTCTGACCTAATTTTTAGTTTGGGGTACTGAAATAGAGGGAGAACAGAAGAAAGTTTCAGAAGATAGCCCAGCTGCTCTAGTTTTCTTCAGATCAGACTCAGTTAGTGAGAAATGTTACAGACAAAAAAGAATGACCAAGCAAGGGAACAGCTAGCAACTGTAATCTGTGATATCCTCCCTCGGGCAAAGAGGCTCACTGGCTAGTGATTTCCAGGTATTGAAATGTATCTTTCCTTCCCTTAGAATGAATACCAGGTATCAGGCTGGTTAGGATTATAATTTCCCTGCCTAATCCTCCTTTGGTGATTTAGAAACAAATACCCTACTCTTGCTTTGCTAGAGGCTTAAGAAGCCTATTTGGGAGCAAGCAGATTTTGCTTGGTCCAGCCTTTATGTGGTACAGATTGAGACAGTAGATCTTTTGGGAGAGAGACAGTGGAGAGTTCAGTTGACTAAGGAGGAAGGTCTGGAGACCTTTTTGTTAGTATTAGCTCAGAAAAGATAAGTTGCCTTGTAGGGAGAAGGCCCTAGGGACTCAGCTTCTTGAAATGGTGCCTGTTGGAAGCTGTAAAGTTGCTGTACTTTACCCCAGTGAGGAAGCACTTTGACTGACTGACTCTGACTTTGCTGTCATTTTGGCCAGGGAGGGGAAGCTTTCTGGCTGGCTATCTAATTTGGGTACAACCTGCTCAAGGGTCTGAGGTATGCAAAAATTGTGTTAGAAAACTGTGAATCAGATGAAGTCTTCTGTGTGTCAGTCAAGTCCAAGATCACTCATCATTTTTCTGGCCCAGTGTGTGTTTGGTTAAATCAAGTCCTGATGTTTCTAGGCCCCGGGGTTAGTGTGTGAGAGAGGCGGGGAGACTCTGCCTTTCATCTTCCCCCCACAATTTTGCAATATGACTGAAAACTCTTGGAGAGAATGTTTTAGATCTCAAACAAAGATTAGGTTTGATGGCATGAAGCTGTGGGTTCTGTGGCTCAGCCTAGAATTCTGCTGAGGGAGTTGTATAATCTCCCCACACTTTCAAGTATTTTGGCTCTGAATTCAGGATCAAATAATTGATGAGGTTTTTGTATTTCTTGCTGGGTTTTTTCTTATTTATTTGAAGCATGTCTCACAGGATTACAGCCGTCAGCAGTCAGGGTTTCTCCTCTTTTCTCTAAACCATCCTTTCATTTGCAGTGAAGATACTAAAGGGCTCCACCAAAAAAAAAAAAAAAATCCGTAACTAATATCTGTAGTAATGACAGAAGATCACCTGTACTGTTTATGGGCATGAAACCATAAAAGAATGGAGCAAAATTACCAACACTAGTTAATGTGGTATGATGTTATCCATAACTAGAATGTTGTATAAAATCAACTTAAAATACAGGGTAATTCAGCAGATGGGTATTTATTTATGGCTTCAACAAATGTGGATAGTAGGTTTAGTTAGTTTTGCAACTTTTTGTAAGGACTAGCTAGTGTTTTAGAAAGAAAATCTAGTAAACCCTAAGGTATAATCAGAGCTGTGGAGGCAAGTGTAAATCTTTTCACCAAGAAGGCTGTATTTTAGTTGCAATCTAGTGGGGTAATAATTTTATTGTATTACAGAAATAAGCAATATGTCATAGAATCAGAATAGTTAAGGTTGGAAAGGACCTTAAGATCATCTAGTTCCAACCCCCTATCCTTACTACCTTTCCAAAATTACTTCCTTTTTTATATTTATTCTGACTCTGCCTGTCGTTAGCTCTTAACTTGATAAAAGAAACATGAAATGAGACTACTGTAGAAGGCCTGACAGTAAAATATGGTAGAGCTATAGTTTTTTGGGGGGTTGTTGTTTTGTTTTTTTTTCCCCATATGACATTTATTTAATTATATGGGACACAGGCTGAGTTTGGTTTATTTATGTTGTCTTATACCCACTAACCTGAAACTATCTTGTGACACTGCCAGTGTGAAAGGTCATTCTGCCTGAAATAAATCTAGTTATGTCAGAACTGCAGCACCTAGTTATAGATACTAAAGTAGGTGTTTGCTTGCCTTTGCTGTTACTTTGCAGCTCCCAGCATCTGTAAATCAAATCCATTTAGACTACTTCAAGGAAAAAAAAAAGCTGATGCCTTCCTGACACATGAAAACTGTACTGCTATCAAACAGTAACTTCATGCTACTCTTCCTTTCATGAGTGAATTTAAAATTAGGCTGATTTTTGAAGTGTTTTCACCAGCTGACATCTCCTGTTCCCCAAATCCACTTTGCTGTTACTTCAGTTCATCTCTGCTGCTCTCACAGGAATTTGATTGCTCACTTTTAAAAAGTGGAAAGTACTCTGAAAGAGATGTGTAGTAGCCAAAACAACATGTCATGGTGCTCGTTTAGGACAGGATGTTTAGTTAGCTAAAGTTGCTACTCTGTTTTGTACCACAGACCGGTTCCATTATTATCCTATTTTTTATTAGTATGTCCCACAACACTGGAATTAGACGTTTTAACATAAGATTGTGGGGAAAAGTAACAGCTTGACAAGCTGCTGTGGCTGTTCTGCACCCTGCATAAGATGAGTTGGTTAGCTTCTATCTGGGTCCCACTGGGTAAGAGTCACCATCACAAAGAGCTCCAAAGAAATTGACACTTAAACCTTAGTGTCAAAGGAAGAGATGAATCCAGGTGAAGTTGTTGGGCCTAATTGGATTGGCTGGACATGACGAGATATGATCTATGATCAGTACAGCTTTGTAGCAGAAATGTCAAATATAGATGTGTTTAAGTGATTGCTGCCTCGTGTTCCATCTAAAACCAAATAAGGTTGAGGAGCCTGCTTGATTTAGTCTGCTGTGTAAGGTTCAAAAGACAAGAGAGATCATCAGGAAATTGTCATCAGCTCTTTTGGGAGTGGGGTTTGTTTTTTGTAATTAAAGAGAAACTAGAATTGACATGCCCATTTGCTAGTCATGTTATTTAGTAATGGATGGTTGTTTTTCTGAAGAGTTTATCTCCTCGGTGATGATTTAATTTAGGCAGTAATGCAGGGAGTTCCTACTGCTTGTAGTGTCATGCAGGAAGTCAGAACACTTAATTAAGCAAGGTCCTTCCTGGCCTTTAAGTAGCCCTTTCTTATTTCCTACTTATACCTGTTTCTGATATACACACAGGTGCAGAAGCAGTAAGGATATTGCTTGAGATAATGCAAGACCTGGGAACTGAACTCTGGCCTGTTGTTCCCTGGGTCTTTGCATAGGTGTAAGGCTAATCTTCCTTTCAAGCAGTGTTTTACTCCCGAGGGCTTTTATCGTAGTGTCTTTCATCAGCTTTGAATTCACTAGAAAAAGAAGAAAAAGATCATTCTTAAAGTCTTTGCCTAATAGCTCATGTCTTCCAGAGTACTGATAAACTCGAGTGCAAATACGCCATCTCCTCTGCCCCAAAGACGTGCTCTGGCTTTAGTACCACACTTTTAATGACAAACATTCACCTAGTTTACCATATGCATTCTTTTATCTTAGCTGTTCTCTGTGCATGTTAGGAGATTTATTTCTACTCATAATGTATTTCATGTGTGTTAGTTGTAAATATTATGCTCATAAATAAGCCTGGACCATCCAGCCCCAAGGATGGAGACAGCTTACAATAGGTCTGTCTGCTTCAGATTGTGAGGCTGTACTAGTTCTCTGTTTTTTCCATTGCTTAGCTCTGTTAGTGGCATGTTGCCAGTCTCCTGTCTCACATTAACAGGAATATTATATATTACTGAATTTAAAGTGTTTTTCCTTCAGGACTAGAAGAATGTAGTGGAGCATGCATCTGGCAGTGTGACATTATTCCTATGGTGTGCAGTGTGCCCTTCATGTGGAGAATCACCAAAGTCATTTCTGCTGCAGTCATCTAGGCATGAGGAGTTGTACTGTGTGCACTGAGGTAGGTCTTGGACCAGGCTGGGGGACACATTATGTCAGGGATTGCATGCATATATACATAATGTATAATGAAAAACTGATTCATCTCCCTTCACCAAATTCTCTAAATTAAATACCACAGAAATAGTAAGTCTGGAGCATAATCCCAGAACTCTTTTTTTTTTTTTTTTCCATCCCACAGCTCCATCTGTATTCACACCTACTGACCTCACTCTTCTCAGCTGGGAGATGGAAACTTGTTTTACTTCCCTCATAAGATGTTTTTGGAAAATTTGTTAGTTCATAAAGTATATGCATGAGGACATACCAACACTACAGAAATAGGTTTCGGACTGCCCCCAAACTAGCAGTGTTACTCCTCATTGTCAGGTAGTTTCATTTGGACTCCTCTCCGTTTGTCCTCTTGTTAGAAAGCTTGTTTTCTTGGCAGAAACTTGTGTTTTCTGCAGTCATCCTGTTAAATTATTTCCCTTTTTACTGATTTTAAGGATCTTGTGCTCTCAGAATTCCCATGTTTGCATGAAACACAGTGCATTAAATTGCATGGTCTAAAGCAATCAATACCCTGTAAGCTTCTAGTATTTTAATTGGCTTGTTTTTGAAGTCTGAAATGGGCTGAGCTGTATGGGTAAGCTAAACAGAGTCTGTCATACCAAAAATACTCTGAAGGAATGTATTTCTTCGTAGTAGGACAGCTGAAAACACCACATTTGCTGTGATTAGTGCATAGCACACTTGTGCCTATGCTTTCTATCTTCATTTATATGTACTTAAATATGTTTTTAGGTATCTGATTCTCAGAGGCCATGTTAAACTGGTGTCTTCTGTTGTTTGTTCTGGTCTAATAAGCTCTTGATTTGCCTCACAGAGCACATCCCAAAACTGTAAACCTAAGTAAAATTAAAAGTTCCCCAGAACAGCCTGTGACCCAGAGCACATGTTGCATTTCAGGAGAGCTGGAAAGGGCAATGGTGTCATCACCTGAGGGGAAACAATCAGAAAGAAATGAGGAGGGGAAATTTTATCGCTTATTTTTAGACTCCGTGGGTGAGTATTATTTTCAGCTTTGTCTGTATTAATTTCTGCAGAACACTGTGCCAACGTGTGACTGGCTGCCTACGAACAGATCATTGTAATTTCTAGCTAAGGCTGAAGCAATCAGTCACTAGCAATCCCTGGAGACTCGAATCTACCCATTTGTACCAAGATAAGGTAGCAGCCAAAGACATGCAGTGTAGATATGTTCGAGACATCTATAAGCTAGCTAGTTGAGAAATAAACCTTACCACATGTATTATACTAGATGAGCTCAGAAATATTTGTCCATGACACTGGGTCAGTCTTTCATGTAGCTCAAGATATTCTGTCACTGGATTTAACATGAGTTAGTTTAAAGCTAACTTTTGATACATGGAGCTGTTCCCATACTTGTGATTGCATACCTTCTGCATTTACCTTCTGCCTTCAGCACAAGACTACACTCTCATAGGCTTCCTTGAAGAACATGCTGCTTGTTAATCAGCACTTTATTGTTTCAGTATGCTTAAAATAAGCATTTTGTCACATTCAAGAAGAAGAAACTTTATTGGTTTGCATTCTGGCACCATGCTTCACGTTGTCAAGTGCTGTCATTTGGCTTCTTTCTGTAACTTATTTACAGAGAGAGGGAGCTTGAGATTGAAACATTCTGGTAACAATTTTCACCAGGTACATATTGTATGTGTTTTAGAAGTATCTCTAATCTTAGAAAGAACAAGAGACAGAATGGGTAATAGTCTGTTCTGGTGTGCTGGAGAGGTCTAGCCTCTAGTTGCTGCATAGGACAGGGAAAAAGCAAAAATTCCACTGTTGCACAGTGAACGTAAGCAAAGAAGACAGCATCTTACCAAAGGACATTCTGATTTCCTTTATAAACAGCTAAGAAGCAGCTTTACTGCATCCCTCACTCAGTATTAAGGAAGGGACCTTTGAGGGGACAATAGATGTTATGCCTACCAAAATTCTCTTTGACTGCCTTAGAATGTGTCTGTAGTCTAAGCAGCAGTAAAAGCCAGATGGTTCTAGTTAGTCTGCAGTGTTGTCTTTTAATTTGATGTAGAGGCAGAAAAATCAAATTGAGACTGAACTTTGCTTTGAGGAAACTGCTTTTGTCACTAGTCCTGAAGCTGGCCTTTTGACTGTCTCCACATGAGTCATTTCATCTCTTTATCATTCCCATACTCTGTAAACTCATCATCAGAGGGACTGCTTGCTGGCTGTGTTGTACCTTACACAATAAAGACCAGACCTCCCTTGACATGATTAGATATCGCTGTCATTAAATTTAATAATTTACATAAACTTATGGTCAGAATGTTCTAAATAAGGATCAAGTGCAAAGCCATTTTGCTAGTCTGTATTATAAATGAAGCATTAGAAAAGGCAGGAGAGGAGACCTGATTTTTGCCTTTATGTAGATGGGAGGAGCTAAACTCTGAAGTGATAAATGAGGAGTAGTTCACAAACCAGTGCAGAACCATAAATTATTAATTCCTGATTTCCAATAATATGTGAAGTGTTTTGAGGCCTGACTGGCAAAATAGCACAGAAGTTTGAGGAGAATTGAGTTGAACAATAGATCTTCTTGCAGAAGACCATCTGTAGCTTTTGGAAAAGACTTCTGTAAGCCTGTTCAATCAGCTTAGGTTCTTGGGTAGTTTACTGTTGTGAATAGATACAGTTAGGGTTTTGATAAAATGCTATATGTAATAGCATTTAATTATGGCTATATATATTTTTAGCCTATCACAGAACACATCCCATTGCAGCTTCTTTAAGGGAAAAAAAAAACCCCAGACAAACCCAAAAAAAAACCAAAGAAAGCTTTCTTGGGGCAGATGTACATAAAATACATGCATGAGATTCTTGTCTTGGAAAATGCAGCAGATTGTAGGTAATTGTGATCTCTCATATTAGAAAAGAAAACTGTGATAATTTAACAAAATACTAAGCAGAATTGTTCTTGTTTCTAATGGGCTTTGGGTTATTTATTGAGTTTTATTGTGCAGCAGCTTTTTCAGAAAATCGTGAGGGCCAGGAACATACAATTAAGTCTTGTTTTGAATCACCCAACTGAAAACAAAGTCTAGAAAAAAAGAAGTTATTTGGATTACAAAATGTCAAACATATTGATATAATTATCCTTAAAAGGAGATACTGTAGGAAATAGGATGGATTAAGTTATTACAAACATTCGTGGAGTAAAAACACTATTAAAGCATTACAAGTCATACAACCAGTGAACCAAAAGTGTAAAAACAACACTTTGGAAAGGAATATTTTCCCAAGAAAACTTTCCAGTAAGAACCTGGGAAACTGCACTTTTCCTTGTGGGTGAAAAAAGTTGCATTCCAACTTTAAAGAGACAGTGCTTCTGGAGAATTTACACACTCAGAAAGCACTATATCTCCTTAAAAAAAATGTTAAAAAAAAAAAAAGTTTAAAGACTTAATCTAGGTTTGTTTGGGTTTTTTTTCCCCACTGTATGCCTGTTAGTATCTTTGTGTGTTTCTCCATATGGATGGTAAAAGTAGATGAGACAATTTCACAGCTGCTTCCGCTTTTTTTTCTGACTCCTGTGTACTTGTGGAATTGCTGCTAGTGGAAAAAAAAAAAATAAAATCACTTCGGGGAACAGAGTGCACAGCACGTTTTGTTGACATGTTAACCTGTATGTTGGTAACCCTTCTCCTACCCTGGCTGGTGTAGGCTTGCTTTTGCTGAGCCCTGGTTTGCTTTGCTAACAGGCTGCTTTGCTAGTGAAATGAGAAACTGCTATTTCAAATCCAGTACGTGCTAGTAGCAACTTAATGGTTGTTTTCTATAGGGTTATTTTTAAGTGATCCATAAGTAAACAGTTACACGGTCTTAGATGCTTTCCAGCCTAAATGATGAATGCAATTGGTCTTAATTGGTTTTCTTGGTAGTTCTCAGAGAGAACCTTGACTAGTTAGTCTTAATACCACTCATTCCTTTGACTTCTGCTGGTGGTTCTTGGAAGTTTCTCAAGGCATTGTTGATTGAAACATACTGTTGAAATAGTGTAAGAGTGAGGTCCCACCCTCTTGCTGACAGAACTGGACCTTTTGTGTAGACAAAGGACTTGAGTCTCCAGGGCTGTCACATCTGATATCCTTCACTGGTAACAAATGAACAGGAAAAAAAGAGAGTACAGAATCAGACCCTTCCCGCTTCAGCTCCCTTTCTATATGGAGGTACAGACTTGAGCTTATAACAAGTACCAGGAAGCACAAATACATGCATACATACATATATCTATATATACATATATATTTAACTGTGTACTGCTGGATATAAAGATGAGAGTGTGGAAGGATTCAGAAATGGTGGCATGTTTGTATGGCCAGCAAGAACACCCAGATTTGTTACAGTAATGATCTTTAAAACACAGAACAGCAACATCAGAGAGGAAACCAGGGAACCCTTTTAACTCCTGGTGGTGAAGGAGGGACTTCTTTTTTGGATTGGTGCCTCTTGAAGTGACTTAATTTTTTCTGTGAAGCATCTGGTCATGGCCAATGTCAGGAAAACGAGAGTGGACACTGTACATGGTATGTTCCAGCACAATTCCTGTGCTGAAAATATCGCCAACATTTCATGTCAAGACACAAAGGCTTGGTCCCAAAATTCCTGTGGATCAGAGAAATAAGGGGGGGGGGGGGAGGGGGCGGTACGTAAGGCCTGATTTAAGAAAGACTTGAAAAACTGCCATTCCCATTCCTAGGGGAGCTCTGACAGTGCTCTCCTATCAGCAGGAAGGAATTCTGACCATCCTGACCCAGCAGCGGCCATCTTCCTCATGTCTTTTTTCTTTACCTTTTTGTTTGTTTGTTTTTTGGCTTAGTTAACTGTAGGGCTTACTCAGTTTTCCTGTGTAGAAACTCAAACAGAGGAAATAATCCCTGTATTTCTAAATTCAAGCAGCTTTGAAATCAGTAATAGTTTTGGAGCAAGAACAATAATCTTTCTGGTAGTGGGTGGCATAAAAAGACTTTTTTCCATTTGAGGCTTTTTCTCTCAAATTTAGTTGATTTACATTGATTTAACTTGGTGTGGGAATTGAAAGTCTGTGAAACTTCCTGTTCTGAGTTGTGGCTTGAGTGAGTTGCTGGGTGAATGTGTTTTACCATTCTTGTATCCTCTGTCTTGTGCAATGATCCTTGATTCTGACGAGTTTCCATCACATGCGTGGGCTCTGTGAGGCAGCGCACTCACGACTGGTTAAAAGCACAGGAAATCTGTGCTTCTATCCAGACCTCCTCTGGTTTTGAATTACTTCATTTCTTTCTTTTTGCCTGTTTGTCAGTACAGAGTAACTTTTGTAAGTGCTTTGAAACCCTAATGGAGGACTTGTTGAAATCCTTAGGTGGAGGTTATGCATCGTATTCTACCAGGTGCTTCTTTACTGAGCTGGTAAATAACGTCAGTACTTGGAAGTGGAATTATTCTACCTCACCTTCCATTCTCAGAACCCACTTCACCATTTTTTTCAGTAAATTGGTACTTTTCCTCTTTTCAGTACTTGAAAGTTTTTTGTGCAATGTTGTAAGATATCTCTGACAGTTCACACCTAGTGCTCCACTTTGAGCTATGCCACATCAAGCAGGTTGGCACCAGAGGTTTCCCTTGAGTTAAAGCACATAAGAAACTGTTCTGTCTTGTCAGGCTATGCAGAGATAGACTTTAAGTTAAAGCAGCATCTACAGATGTTTGCCCTCTTCTGACTACTTGTGTCAACAGGAAATGGCCAGTATTATGCATAGTGGCTCCCAAACTTTAAACTTGTGCAAGTGGTACAGGAAGAAACCAGAGGCTGTGGGTATGCTGGTAAAGTGCCAGTTTAAGGAAAGATTCTGTGCCCTGGAACTTCATTTTACATGGATAAGAGGTTCTGCATGGTTTTAACTGGGCCAACTAGCACTTCCCCTGTTTTCTGATTGCGGTTCAAGAGCTGTTGTGAGCCAAAGTCTGCTCATACAAGGCATTCTGCATTCAGTCATCCTGTTTTAGAGGTGGGTAACTTGAAGTTGTATACATACATTGTGGCCACATGGCATGAAACACTCTCACAGAACAAGCTCAGACTTGTTGAAATTAGTAATACAGATCTATGTACAGTATCTGGAATACAGGGGGAAAATAGTTTATGTTGATTGTATAATCCCATCAATGACAAGTTGCATGAAGCCCATGTCCTAAGTATTTCTAGATAATTCTTTTTAATATTAAACAGATTAGTTATTTACACTGAGATTAACAGTTGCTACTTCTTTATGTTTTAGGTACTTTTCTCTCTTCCCTGAGTCAATTAACATAAACTAGAGGTCAGAGCAGCTCTGCATGATGAAAATGTTCTGGTTTTATCTCTGACTCATTTCTCATGAACAAAATAAAGTAGGAAAGAGTCTTTGAATCTTTTCAGTGCAATGAAAAGGATTTAAAAAATTATTCATGTGCTTGAGTGTATGCTGTGTCCAAGGTTCTCTTTTTGAAGAAAGTTTTCAGAATCTTACCAATTACATTGATCTTCTGCACCTCAGATTTCTAATGAGGATATCTGGGAGCACTTACCATAGAGCACTGGCTATACAGCCTCCTCTGCTGAGATGCAGATGCCTTTGTGCTCAGCCTGACAACACAGATCCTAAGCAGAACTTTGGGTGAGCTGTCTTTCATAGGCTGATTTGTGATCAGCTTAGGAGTTCCTTGGAGTTAGTCGACCAGCAGCCCTGTGCCAGTGTTGTGTTTCTAGAGACTCTAAAGTCAGAGAATGTTGTATCTGACAAGTCAACACAGTTTTGCTGCTTAGCTCCTTCCACTGCTCTGTGAAATATTTGCAGAACCTGTATTTCATGACTGGCCAAGTTACTGATTGATCTCCTGTACTGTTTATCCCACTTAGGGATCAAGTTATTTTTTCAGAGATGACCTCTCTTGCTCACAAACCACAACCAGTTTGGGTTTATTTCCCTGCCTGCTAACTCCC